GTTGCATGGTCTGCGACAAGACGGGGCCGTCGACATATGAGTCCTGGGGTGCTTCCCGGGTGAATTCAACATCGAAGTTCTCAGTGTCGCGGGCATCCACCTGCATCAAGTTAGTGAAACGTTGATCGAATACATAATCGGGGGTAAGAAATACATACCACGTTTGGTCGGAAACTGGGTTCGTACTTCCTCTGGAGAAGCTTGCGCCAGTCAATGTTGGCAAAGAAATGGTGAGACTTGATCTCTGCAGCACCGTTGGCACCCAGTCGGCGCACAGGATCACGGTCCAACAGTCGAGTGAGAAGATCTCGGGCAGCAGGTGGAACAATGTCGCTGCTGGGGAAGGTCAAAGGCTCCTGCAAGATCTTGCGATACATCTCGTTGGTGTTTTCATCGTAGAATGGAGGCAGGCCGGTCAGCATCTCGTAGAGCAAGACACCGAGGGTCCACCAATCCACGGTCTTGGTGTAGCCGTTGCCAAGGAGAAGTTCTGGAGCGAGATATTCGGGGGTTCCACAGAACGCTACGTTTTGTTAGCTGATATAACTTATCATGAGTGGTGAGGATATCTTACTATTGGTTCGGTCTTCGTCTTTCATGTCCAGCTTGCAAAGACCGAAATCGCAAAGGGCGATGTGCCCAGTGTAATCAAGAAGAATATTCTCCGGCTTGAGATCTCGGTAGATAACCTTGAAGCCATGCAGACACTCGAGAGCGCACAGCAACTCTGCGGTATAGAAACGGGCTCTGTTGATATCAAATCGTTGTTCCCTTTGCAAATGGTGGAACAACTCTCCGCCATTCACAAATGCCAACACAAAGTACAACTTCTCGGGCGACTGGAATGAAAACTTCAGCGGAACAATGAACGGGTTGTTGATCTGTGCAAGAACCGATCGCTCGGCAAGTGTGTGTGTGACTTCCGATCGCGAGATAATGTGAGCCTTGCGAATTGTCTTGAGGGCGTAGATCCGACCAGTATCCTTCTTCCTGTAATTCCCTCACTGTCAGAATTTTGGAACCGAATGAATCGCCTTTATAGTCCACTTACATGACCTGCATGACCTTTCCGAAACTACCCTTGCCCACAACCTTGAGCAAATCAAAGTCTTCTAACTTGAGACTCCGCTGCTTGTTCTCCACAAAGGAAATACCAATCTTAATCGAGCCAACGCCGAATTGGAGGTCCAGCCACTCGGCTCCCTGCTGGCCCAGTTGACGCCCTTGCTCGTCGTGAGCTGCGGCAGCCTTCTGGTTGTCTTTCTTGCTGAGTTTCGGGTCCTCCACATACGGCTGGCTCTCTTCAAAGCGAGGGTTGACCTTGCATGCACCCAAGAAGATGTCCTCACTCCGTCCGGCACCAGGCCGGGCTGCAGGGTTGCGCAGATACAGCTGTACGCTCAACTCGGTCTTCCGGGACACATCAAACTTAAAGGCTGTGTTGTCTCCCGCCCACAATGGGCTTTCTGGAGTTCCCGATACGGCATCCACAAAGACCTGGTTCTTCTCGAAATCAAGGAGGGCATACGGAAGGTACTTGGTGGAATAGCGACCGTGGATAGTGGGGGCGGCATTGATCCCCCCGCTTGTGGACTGCGGTCGGCCGGACTGCACAAAGGAACCCGCTTGATTTTGAGATGAATGTGACGATGAAGAGGTACTTGGGCGTAGAGAAGAGGGCGCGTAAGAGTTATTTTGGAAATGCGAATTGAAGATCTGTTGGAAGTGCGGTGACAGCGAAAAATTGCGTCCTTCGTGGAGAGTGACAATGAGGATGCCGGGGTTCACAGTCGCCACAGGAGGAGAAACAAGAGACTCGGAGGCCGCTGTCAAAATAATGAAATGGTTAGTTACTATGGATGATTGCTGCAGTATAAGAATAACATACCGATGCCATTTGTTGAGGAGGTGGCGGAGGCAATGCTGGGCGGGTTCGAGGCCACAGGTGTCACAGCCTCATCACCATTTGAGTCACCCTTGATCGTCGAAGTAGACGACGACCGGCCAAATGATGAGGTCAAGGGTGCTAGGTGCGTCTCCTTCAACTCTTCAAGCGAGTTGTATAATTAGCGACTGCCCATGATGTTCACTGCAGTGCAGAGAGGGGTATTGAGGGGTGGGAAGAGGGAGACCAACTGCCAGTAAACATACTTTTAGTGAGCTTCCAGGACATAGTGGCGGTTGTTGTAAAGAGATTGAGAAGAAGAGATCAAAGTCCAAGATACTGCAATGCGTGTGCAGGGTGCTAAGAATCACCCAATAATCAACATGCGAATGGCCTCCAAAATAAACCTGGAGAAGCCACACAAGGACGCAGATAATACACACGCAAAAGGAGAGAATTCAAGACAAAGACAACCACCACTATCTTTCGAAATCCGTATGGAAGCACAACTAAGGATAAGAAAGAGTCGGAGAGATCGAAGATCAAATGAGAATGAGAGAGGGGAAGTTCCCCCTGTAATTGTAATACATAGTTTACTCTGGATTACGCTAAATTACATGTTTGATTGGTAGAACTGGTCACATGTTGGTTACATCAAGGTACAGTAATTAATCAGCCTCAGCCACTGCTCCGCCACAAGGGTTAACGACGCATCAACTTCCACCACGGCATTAACTATCAAGGCAGTTGACTCCACAGAACGAGTGATATGAGATTCAGCTTGAATTGTAGCTGTATCTTTTCACCTTGAGATCCTTGCTAAGCTTCGGAATATTCCCCGCTCCGAAGTGCGGAGACACCTACCCCGGAAGATCTCACCTCAATTTATCACCTGCAACTCTAGTATTTTCAGACTCCTGAGTCTGTCCGTCTTTTGATACGGCTTTCGACAAACCGGATGATGAAAGGGGCTGAGGGCTAATGGGTGTGATACGCAAGAAGACCGCCTCGCGCGGCACCGAGGCCGGCACTAAGTTCCACTGCGATGTGTGCTCTATTGATGTTACGTCAACCGTAAGTCTTGATATGGTTGGGTCATGACCATTTGAAGGCCTATTACTTTGATGAGAAACTGACACAACTCCGTCCCTTAGGTTCGCATCTCCTGTTCGCACCCCGCCTGCCCCGAATATGACCTCTGTGTCCCCTGCTTCTCAGCCGGGAAGCACTCTAAAAACCATGACCCCGCCACACATCCATTTCAAGTCATTGAACAAAACTCAGTTCCCATATTTCAAGAGGATTGGGGTGCCGACGAAGAATTGTTATTGCTTGAAGGCGCCGAAATCTATGGGTTAGGTTCCTGGGCAGACATCGCAGACCACATTGGCGGCTATCGCAGCAAGGATGAAGTGCGAGATCACTATTACGACACATATGTGAAGAGTGTCAACTTCCCGCTCGCAGCCCGCGCCGATCCAGACGATAGGAGCTTGCAGGATTCAATTTCCAAGGAGGAGTTTCAAACGCGCAAGAAGCGACGCATCGAGGAGCGCAAAGATGCAGCCAAGTCAGCACCTCCAACTACACCAAAGCAGAAACCGACCGCCAGTGTACCGGCATGTCACGAAGTGCAGGGCTACATGCCAGGACGATTGGAGTTTGAGACCGAGTTCTTGAACGATGCTGAAGAAGCGGTGCAGCATATGACTTTTGAGCCCGGGGCTGGACTCAATGAAAACGGCGAGCCAGATGCAGAGACTGAGCTCAAGATGACCGTGGTTGACATCTACAACTCTCGCCTGACTGCGCGTACCGAGCGCAAGAAAATCCTCTTCGAGCACAACCTCCTTGAATACCGCAAAAACACTGCCCTAGATAAGAAACGGTCTAAGGAAGAGCGAGACTTGTTGAACAAAGCAAAGCCACTAGCACGTATGATGAACTGCAAGGACTTTGAAGACGTCAACAAGGGCCTGGAGTACGAGCATAACCTCCGTCTAGCCATCTCCCAGCTTCAAGAATGGCGACAGATGGGCATCGGTGATTTGAAAGCAGGTGAGAAGTATGAGCAGGATAAGCAACAGCGCGTGCAACGAATGCTTCCTCAAGGATCATTTGACCGTTTTGCCAGCAACCGCCCAAAGCAGACACAGCTGACAGAGACACCAGCGGCAGCAATCCAGCTCACAACGCCTGAATTGCCGCTGCGACTGCAAAAAGCTGCCAATCCGCACGCACCAGCGGATCCTGCTGACGAACCATTAAACGATTTTGATCGCGCCTTCGCTGTCGATGGGGATGCGCCTCCCCCGCAGCCGACAAAGACGAAATACGTGGTGCCCCCGCTAAGCGGGATGCCACCGTGGAAGTTGGACAATGACACCGCTGCCGACCTGCACCTTTTGACTAAGGAAGAGGCAGAAGTATGCAATGTTCTACGTATCATGCCAAAGCCGTATCTGGTCATCAAGGAGACACTGTTGAAAGAAGCAATGAAGCAGGGCGGCAACCTGAAGAAGAAAGATGCCCGGATGATTTGCAAGGTATTTTTTTATCCTTGGCTCTTGAAACGCGAATTCTTTACTGACTATGTTAGATCGAGGGCACTAAAACCAGCCGAATTTATGATTTCATGGTACACAGCGGTTGGATTAACAAGGCGTAGGTACGCCGATCCATGATATGCTGTAATCACTTCCTAGCTTATTGATATCCAAATTCATTTGTGGTTTTGTTCCGGGGCGTTTTCTTATTTTTTTGGCGTTCATAGGGAACCTGAGAGATGGGTGGACGTGTTGATCTCGGACCTTGTCCCAAATCACAGGTAGAATAGCACCTGTAATTTGCACAACTGTACAATGGAAGTACCCCAAATACGTCTCAATATACTTAATTTCAAAGAACAAAGTCGATCAATATATTCTTCCCAAAGCCAGCGAAGAATACATCCCCACACTCGGCCCTCGGCATCTTCTCCGCATTTACAACCTCCAACTGCCGTCGATCACTGACGTTCTGTATCATTTCTATATAATCTCCTTGAATCCTCCTTAATGTACCTCTCTCTTCCAAATCAACCCAATTATCTATCAACTCACATAAGAAACCCAAAATGCCACCCTTCACAATCCAACCACCAACCCCAGCCCACGCAACTCTGACCTACCCAGCACCCCACATCCTCCTCGTCACGCTAAACCGACCCCGCGATCTAAACTGCATAAACGCGCAAGGTCACGCAGACCTCCACGCAATCTGGGAATGGCTCGACGAAGAGCCGAGCATGCGCGTAGGCATTCTAACCGGAAAAGGACGAGCGTTTTGCGCCGGCGCCGATCTAAAAGGTGAGCCAGCACTATAGCCAGGATCCAAAAGCACAGACACACACTATCCCAATCTCCAAAACCCAATGACTGATGCTCCAATTCATCTGTTTGACCCGCTAACTCCACTTCCCCAGAATGGAACGACCGCACCTCGGGAGCAACGACAACCTCTAGCTCCGTGACCCCGATGCCACACAGCGGGTTCGGTGGACTAGCGAGACGCAAGGGCAAGAAACCCGTGATCTGCGCTGTGAACGGGCTCTGTCTTGGTGGGGGTGCGGAGATGATTATCAATAGCGATATTGTGATTGCGTCTTCGCGGGCGGTGTTTGGATTGCCGGAGGTGAAGCGTGGAGTTGTTGCTCTTGCTGGGGCGTTACCGCGGCTTGTGCGGACCGTCGGGAAGCAGCGGGCTATGGAGATGGTTCTCACGGGGCGGATGGTTAGTGCTGTGGAGGCGGAAAGGTGGGGCCTTGTTAATTCTGTTGTTGCGGTTGGTGAGAAGGATGGGGAGGAGGAGATTGGCAGGGCTGTTTTAGAGAAGGCTTTGGGGGTTGCTGAGGAGATTTCGGGAAATAGTCCTGATTCGGTGCTTGTTAGTCGCGAGGGAGTGAAATTGGGGTGGGAGGGGATTGGGGCGGATGAGGCGACGGCGATGTTGAATGAAACTTGGGTGAAGAGATTGTATGAGGGGGAGAATATTCAAGAGGGACTAAAGGCTTTTGTAGAGAAGCGAAAGCCAGTGTGGGTTGATAGTAAGTTGTAGGTAAAAAAAAGAATTAAGAAATATTCCATTGTTCGCTATTCATACTCCAGTTCGTAAACTCGTAAAAACACTAATCCCAATTCTCCGTCGCGCCGTGTACCTGGTATTCGCCATATTTCATGCAAGTTCAAATTCAGTCAAGGCAAAATCAAATATGCGGTTGCCCTGCCTCTCTGAAAAGCGGTGTTAGGATGTTGTGTGGTGGTGGCATAAGGAAGAGGTGCCTACTTGGTGTCGGATTGTACTTCGTCTACGACCTTGACCACATGGGGGAAGAGAGGGTGGTCTCGGTCCAATCCGGTTAATTGGACAGCAGCATCGGCAGGCGAGTTCTCCTTGAGAATCTTGGCCATTTCCACACTCTCCTCGTCGCCTTTCACATTCTGGAACCGCAGAGCCATTTCAAAGGAGCCCATCAATGCCTGGAACTTTCCACCACGCTCGGCCAGCTGCGAAGCCGGGCCGATAAACCGTTCCTTGCGAGACACTTTGCGCATTGGGGCACGGCCCACGCGCTCCACACTGTCCTCGAGGTAGGGGTTTGAGATTCGGGTGATGATGGTCTCGACGTACTCTTGCTGCTCGGCAGCGCTGATTTCATGCTTGTCGACGATGAGGGAGGCAGTCTCTTGAAGTACATCACGGACAATACCACGGATACGAGTATCCTTGAGGGCTTCAGCAATGGTCTTCTTGCCCGCATTGTAGCCATAGTAGGCTGCAGTGGCGTGACCGGTGTTGACGGTGAACAACTTGCGCTCAATGTAGGGCTCCAGGTTGGCAACCCAGTGGATAGCTGGGACTTCGGGGTGACCGAACTCGCCGAAAGGCGTCGACTCCACGACCCATTCGTAGAACTTCTCGATGCGCACGTTGAGACCACTGTCGGGAGCCTGGGCAGGTACAATACGGTCGATGGCCGAGTTGGCAAACCGGGCTCGGTCTGGCATGGAGTCGAGACGGTCTTGGGCGGTGTTCTCCTTGATGAACCGGTGTAGAGTATCAGTGGCGCCGATGGCGTTCTCACAGGCAATGACGGCGAGCGGTGTGGCGTCGGTGCGGGCGTCGATGCCCTTGGCAATGACGGGAGCGATGAACTTGAGGATGTTCGGGCCCACGGCGCAGGTTACAATGCTGGCAGTTGAGATTTCCTGGATGACCTCGCTCTCATGAGTCTTGGAGTTGATTGCACGGTAGTTGGTGATCGTCTTGGTAGACTCGCCCTCATCACTGACTTCAGTGACCTGATAAGACTTGGTTTCTTGTAGGGAATTGATGATACTGTCCATGACATCAACGAAGATGACTTCATAGCCAGCAGTGTGAAGGAACTCGGCAACGAAGCCGCGGCCGATGTTACCACCGCCGAAATGAATAGCTGTTTTGACCATGATGAAGATGGAAAAGTGGAAGTGGAAGTGGAGAGAGGTAGAGAGGTAGAGGTAGAGGTAGAGGTAAAGGTAGAAAGGTAGAGGTAGAAAGGTAGAGGTAGAGAATTAAAGTAGAAGTCTTAGTCAAGTTGCGCTTTCTAGTTCACGAGGGGGAAGTTGCAGCTATTTAAGTAAAATGGGAAAGTGACGAGGATATATACGGGAGTCCCAATATGACGATGACTTCATAGATCTAGAGTCTACGGGACTGGCCTCCGCCTTGTTTAGAACGTCAGTGTGTCTTTGATTTTCTCGGTATTATCTTTGTATTCTCCTTTCCTAATTCCTACCGTTTCAATTTTATTCTGTCATTTCAAATTTCACATTCCTATACATGCACCCTTTCTTTTCCCCCCGCTTTGTCTGTGCAACTTCCATACTTCTCTTCCTCCGTAGTCCGTAGACACACTATACCTATTTAAGGAACACATCGATCCCCATTCATAGGCCTGAACCACTCACCGGCAATTAGAAAATCACCGGGAAAACCCGTCCATATTCAACTCGCGCTTTGAACCCTTGGCAAGTGTAGTCGGAGAAACCCAGCCGATAAACCGGGAAACGGAGTACTGTGGTCCTCGGCGTCTGAGCCTTGTACACGGAATGTACGGAGTACCTAGTTTGGGGTATAATGTCACGGAGTACCTTAGTGTGTATACTCATTCCAGATCCTTCATGATACTCATAGAACAATGATATCCACATGTGTGACGTCGGATGAACGGTTGGCAGCCCCGACCCAGTTTTTTTTCCATTAGTCGCGGCCAATTCCATCGACCCCATCAAGCCGAGGTTTATTCCAAAGACATCTATCGCTTTCCATGCTCTAGCCGCCAGAACTAGATTGCTGCCTTGCACTGCCCGACATACCTGAGCCCCTGGAAGTTAGGGGGAAACCTAACCCTCGCGGTAACTCGGAGCCCAGCCATTGGCCCAACGCCATACGGAGTACACGCTCAGATATCCCGCAAAAGTAAGTGGCCGGATTGGCAATGTAATTTCACTTGAAACAATATCTAGTTAATTGAGCTAGACTCTATTGGTTGCGCAAAATAATCTTATGGTAGGATCGTTCGATTATGTTGTAAATGGCTCTTTCTATCTACTATGAAATGCAGTATATTCGATTTTGCGAGTTTCCCCGACGTCCGCCCCCCGTCTGAAACCTGCGTTCTCCGACTGGCTAACATCACCGCTTCCTTTTCTTCCTTCTCTTTGGTTTGCAAATTACCCCTCTATATCCTTTTCGACGGACGTAGATGCAGCCCGTTTGGGAACAAAGACATTCGCAAAGCAAGCGATACTACCGGCGAGTAACAGCCCCACTGCGGCCCAAGTCATCCCGAGAAATTTCTCTCCGTAATGGGCTGACACGTTCCAGCCCTTGCCGTGAGCGTTGATCAGAGCAACGAATTCAAAAGCAATGACCGTGGCGATTATGGATGCGATGCTGATGCTGAGAGATCCGACCTAATCAATGATACCATGTCAGCAAATGATATGGGGAAATTCGATATCCAAAATGCACCACGCTCAACTAGGTAGTACACTGCCTGCAATGCCGAGACAGAGTTTATGTAGGGGGTCTATCACCTGGGCAGAACGTGCTGTTTATGTAACTCACCATGAAAAGCCAAAATTCACACGGACCCTGGCCGGGTCGTGGAGCAAGAGTTGTCCATACTCGTACAAGTATCGTCGCCCCCATCGCCCCAACTCCCATACAGTATAACACCGCCATAACTCGACTTGTCAATCTGAGAGCGTGGAAGTCATCGCTGATCACGCGTGGCCAACCCAGTTCCTGACCGGTGATCTCCTTTGGCCAGGCTTTGGTCGGGTCAAATGAGGATAGAACCGTGCGGTTTGAGCATTCGGTCAAGTTGCGCGTGACTCCTCCGTTGGGGTCGGTTGTCCCTAGTGTCCCCTGGCAGTAGGACATGATGTGGATGGAATAGAAATCGTTCGCTCCACTGCCGGTGAGGTCTGCGGGCGTATAGAGCTACATTGATAGGGCCAAGTCAGTACGCTGCGTCTATCTGCCACTCATAGAAAGTGGTTGAAGACGATCGGACTTACTGTTAAGATATCCACATTATTCAGGAGATTTCTCTGTGTCCCTGCGAAGAGACATAGGATGCTTAGTATAAACGCGATGAACACAGCCACTGTCTGGAATAAGCCCCTGCACTCTGACATGATGGCGTGTCGGGTATATGCGTTGGTATGATTCTCTTCTGCAAGATGTAGTTGGATCCAGTATGCAGTCTGTGAGTATGGTTACAGCAGATGATGTGAAGGCTCAATAATGGGAGGGCTCCGAATCTGCGATTCTGGCCAAGTTCGCTATCCTTATAAGCATACCATGCTGGAAATTTGGATGATCGGAACGATCGGTCTCTAGATTTCTCACGATGGCTTCATTCCAGACGTGGGCTGTAAGAAATGGCGGGGGCACTTTATTCTGCACAGTATCGAGATGATGTGCTGTGGAATGTTTGCATTATACATGATCGGGTAGAAGACCTCTCGCTATTGGTAACGTAAGTATATACGGAGGAGTAGCCCAGGTATGGTGGCTGGGTGGGAAGGGAATGGGTGTAGTCCCGCCCGCTTCAAGAATGTTCAGAATGTTGCCAGCCACGAAGGAAGTTGCAAGTTGAAATCACACGTCAGTCTTATTCGTGGGTTTGGTACATTATTTTTCAATACAAATTTTATCTGAGGGCCGGTGGGGAAGGTTTCGATCTCAGAGATGAAGGGGTCTGCCAGGGTTATATAGTAGATCCAAAAGAATTTGACGTCAGCGACAGGGGGTTATATTGCTTTGGCCACATCCCAGTTGACACATTTTTGTATATGTACAGACGCCAATCCCTAAATTGGGTCAATCTCTTGGGAACTTTCGTTGTCTTGACATCAAATCTTCAAATTCCCACCTACTTACGATTCTTCAGTTTGACAGATTCAAGATTGACCTATGCAATCTAATGGACAATACACAAAATGCTGTATTTGGCCCTCGGTGAGCGAACCATAGTTCGTCATCGCAAATACAAAAGAAACAAGGAAATACTCCATCTCTAGGGAGTACGATCCGACCCGTTTCTGCTCCTGTACAACATACGGTGCGATATGACGGCGGATCAAGTTTGATTGGTTGAGCAGAGTCTAGATTGGGCTTTCACCTGGCAGAAAATCATTTTGAGTGCGTGGGCCTAGGGGCCAGGTGGCAAGTCTGGCCAACATCCATTGTCGGCTGGCAAATCGTAGGATAAGGTATCTTTTGCATAGCTCCATACAAAAGATACATAAGAAACTTGAGCATAATGTCAATATTTCTGAACTCACAAATTAGTTAAGGAAAAGATCAAATAGCTTAACATATAAGTCTGGGCAATCGATGATATGGGTACCTTAGATCGCACCAGTGACACCTCATATATATAACGTCTTACACCAGCGAGTGGTCCGCCTAGACCAACAATATTTATCTCAACGAAAACATCATTAATGAATTTAGAGTGAACTGATCATCTATATAGACATACATCTCTCCCAAGGCCCTGTTTTTTTTACTATGTTATAGACTAATTCATTAGTAGCTTTGTAAACGCTAAGAGGTTAGTTTTATATGTATAAATTTAGGTTAAACTATGGCCCTAGCCTAGGTCTTAGGTCCGGGGCCGGGTTCTACATCTCGACCCAAATCTGGGTTGTGCGACAGACCAAGTATGGTCACTCGGTACCTGGGTATTTGACACTGCTGATCAATAACCTATGTTTTTCACTTCTTCTCATGCTCACATCTCAAGGCTCACTGAATAAACTTGATATAATCGTGGGTGTGATTTGAATACGGGATACGTGTCCATGCCTTGAATCTGTGATTTTGGGCAAAGTCAGTGCATTCCCACCCGCGGTCATAGACTCTTAGCTACCATCAGCCTAATGAGACTGGTATAACCCAGTAGCGCTTGGAGCTACGGATACGGTGAACTAATCATAAGAGGCCTCGCGACCCTTGGAGATCTGCCAAGGAAACTGTTTTGCTAAGAAAAGAAAAAGCGGTTGAGACTTTATACTTTTGCCCGGATAATGGGTCCTGTTATGATGATGCGTGCCATGCCTAGGGCTAGAACGCCTATAGTCAACGCTACTCCTGCCCAAATCTGTGCCGCAAGATAACTATTGGTACGAGATATCAATACGCCAGCGACAGATGGTCCAGTCAAAGGCCCAAAACTCATCAGTGTCAGCGCCATTCCAACACGGGTTCCGATTTTGTCCAAATCTTTGGTTAAAGAGGGGACAGTACCAGCAAACAAAGCCATAGCGGCTGCTGATGCCAGACCGTAGAAAACGGCGAAAATATATAGTTCGACGACCGTATGAACAGCGATCCAGCAGAGCATCAAGATACCGCATAGCGCCACCCATGGAATCAAACAATTCGATGGGCCGAGGTATCGATCAGCCAGATAGCCGCAAGGTGCACGAATTGGAATACCGCACGCATTGATAACGATGATCAGTTTTACGCCATCTATCTGAGATAAGTGCAATTCCTTTGTCGCATAAACTTTGAATCTAGAAGAATGTTAGTGTCGGAATCTCCCTATATAAAAAAAGAAACAAAGAGTGACATACGTAGAAGAAAGCGAAATAAAGCGTCCAATAGAGAAGGAACACCCCAAAAGTGAAAAGCATATAAGCTGGTTCCTTAAAAGCTCCCCATTCAACTAACGGGCCCGACTTTCGAGATGGCAATCTAGGACGTAGCAGCGCAAGGATACAGACGACCATAACCAGAGCCACAAATCCCATACAACGAACTGCCCACGGAAAGCCTATAAATCACGCTCGCCCATGAATTTAGCCAAACCAGACGATATGTGTGTGAGTGTGAGAGAGAAAGGAGAGAAGAAACCCACCAATTCGGGGAGTGAGATACTGAATCATTGCTGGAAAGATGATTCCTCCTGTACTCGTCCCTGTCGCTGCAGCTGTGAGAGCAAAAACCCTCAGCCGCACAAAATACGTCGAAATCAAAGCCACACTGGGCAACCACATAAGGCCCTGTCCAATCCCAACACAGAGACCTTGCGCCAGAAAAATCTGCCAATACACCGTGGCCAGACTTGTCATGAAAGTGCCGAGTAATAAAAGGACCGCTCCTGCGCCTACCACCAGTCGCGCAAGCCCAGCATTCGTCGCACGGCCGGATAGCACCGAGATAAACAATAGGCAAAATACCTGGAATCCGCCTATCCAAGAAATGTCAGAGGCTGATTGAGGTAGGGTTTTCTCATAGTAATTTTGGAATACTCCAAAGCTGGAAGCGTAACCCCATGTGAGAGCTACAACCAGATGACCCGACACCACCTGCGCCCAAGCATGGAAACCCCCGTCTGGAGGCGGGGATGCGGTCGTCATGTTCGGTGGTGAACTGATTGTATCGGTTCCCCTTGTAATTGCTCAACAGAGAATCCTCTCCAGTGTATTTGGATGTAAACGTTCCCTTTTCCCTTGAGGTGCGTCAATAAATAAACCACGAATGTCAAATCCCACCCCGATAAAGATGGCCGAGGGACAGGGTGTATTAAATAGAACGTGCGTGGGTGATTTTGACGATCAGGTTAGAAACGAGGGGATATCTATGTATCGCAAACGGCGCGTTCCATCAAAAAGCAAAAAGACCGCAGGGGTCAATTGCCATCCAACACCACTGTGAATTAATAATCCAAACCATGCAAGATCAATGGTGGTGAGAATAGGGCGTCAAAGATGAGACTCTAGAGCAGGGTACCATACCGACTGATAGGAATCATATCACGGTAAATAGCCTCGTACATTTGGTCTCAGGGCGACATCAACTTCAAGCTTCTGTCTACCTGGATCTCAAGACTATTATGAATTTCTATAAACTCAAACAAATCTGGTGTCCCTCACTCTGGTCCCAGTTCTCGTACTTTAGTCCTCCCCCTTGTCGCAGTACGCCATATATACCCACATAATCCCCTTGGTCGTCCTTCCCCTCAACCACCCTGGTCAAATGCCTATTGGCTACCCCCAGCGCGGAAAGTCTCGTGCCCACAGTTTCTGCGAGGCTTATCGCATGTCTAGCATCCTTTCTAGCTAAATTTACAAGAAACAGTAGCTCTCAGAAGATACAAAACACAAGCATGTCAGTCGTGATATCGCAGAAATAGGCATCGATTTGATTTTGACTTAACTTCTCCCGACTCCAGTAATCCCCATTCATGATTCAGAAGAGTGTGACGCATATAGCCCAGGGAAAAAAGTGACAAGTACTCATGAAGCCCCAGGTCAATGACTGCGTTCCCGACGACTCTATCAAAAATTTATCCATTGCTCGTTGCTCATCTCAGCGATGATCAAAGACCATGAATTGAGACCTCAAATATAGATAACTATCTTTTTACCGTCAAACTGACCTATAAATCAGGACTCAGCATCGTCTGGATAACGAAGTTCCGGTATGGGCCAGGTGATGAGTGACTCCCCTCTTGCTCTATTGAATTTTGCGAGCTTCGAGAGCGAAGTGGTGGTATGGTGGGTGCTTGAATTGGCCGAGTGCCAATCTATAGACGCATTTTAGGGAAGTGGACCCCTGCTTGTGAAACATGTTACATATCAGCTTCCCCATTCTCCTCCACGCATACTCGGTGATTCCCCTGAAGGCTGACACTAAACAATGACAACTTTATAAACATCAATTTTCTTTCCATAATCCCCGTCCCCGTTCAAGGCTTAAGACAATTGGGATTTTGTCTGTGTTGTGCTTATGTATATTTTGTATGAATTGCAAAAGATACCTGGCCACATGATTTGCCATCCGGTGGGTCCCCCACACTAGACATTGGTGAGTTTGCCACAATTACAATTATAATATCTTTTTAATATCATCCGTGGATCAGATCAGATTGAAAGGTAGAATGGCATGAACCTCGGAAGAAAACCCACAATCTCCATATGTATATTGGTGGAGGACAGCATCTTGTGGCCGGTCCTGGGGCTCCGGGCCGGGGGGCGAAGACTGTGATTGATCCGGAACACACAACCACCTGGGCACCCGGCCAATTGAATGCTAGATCCGAAGCTGTCAATTGTGCCGCTCGTCGCGCCGTAGGTATTCATAGGCCATGTAAATGTGAGGAAAAGGTCGAGGAAGATCATCAATCTCATCTCTATCTTTAATTTTATTTCATCCCAAAGATCTGGATTACACATTCGCCAAAGAGCAATGCGCACAAGCGACCTTGCCGTAATTGGGTTAATGTATCCTGGGGTTAACGAGGACTATGTACAATTATCTTATGAAGTGGCCTCCGAAGACACCCTTTCTATAAGCAAAAATCCTACAACTCTCGACTCGTAGTGTGCCCCTGATCATCTCGAAGCTAGCTTGAATATCGTATAGAGGGACTTGCTTCACTCTAGAAATTCAAAACCGACCCCTTAGGGTATACTGTTATTGTAGGTGGGAGTAGGATTAATGAGAGATAGTTTACCATAGAGGCTTCCTCTGAATCCTGGACAGAACAGCTCGACGAGTAAACAGGAGACACACAAGACAAAAAAACTACATGTACATTATCTTCCTACTAGTAGTTCTCCTAGGTCGATATGTGTGTAGTCCTCGAGGCTTATATATTGCTACCTGAATTATCTAGTCAGGTTTCCCCTTGATGCACAGAACTTTTGAACAAGCCATGATGTGTGGTGGTGAAATTGATTAATCTCACACTGTTCCCCATTAAAGTTGCTGAATATTTCCTTTACTTGGAAACTCGCACATTGGGTCTCCGCAAACCTAATTAGGCTATCGGAGATGAAATCTCAAAAATCAATGTGAGGTCAAACCTCCGATGGCTGAAACATCGGATGGTTATGTCTTTTATGTCTTTTATTCCCCCATTACCTGTTCCTGAGCAAAGTAGTGTGTGCCAAATCAAGCTATAGGCCAAGTGTAGACCGGCATCAAGAGATTACACAGAGAGAACATGTAATGCAACATAGGTGAGACAGAATTTGATAGTGATACAGTGGGACGAACCATTAATATATCGCTCAAATAATCTTGCCAGTAATATCGCCAAACGCCACTTTTCAGACCATCAGCTTAGCGCTCAGTGTGCCCTGTAGGGGATAACAACACAACCACGTGAACCAACATGCAATACAGGGAACCGCGAGAAGAGAACGAACCAAGTCGTAAGCTGGCAGCTCGTGGCTTACCCACCAACATCCAGACTTGGAAACAAGTGTGCGGTTAGTGCTGATGTGTCAGAAGGTTCAAGGCTCGATAGAATCCTTCCAATAAATCTGGGTCTCAGGGCAGCCGGGCGTCATGTCCCGAGCCTAGACGCGAACACGCCGTGACATGGGACAACAAGACTGGCACAGAGGGATCCGATATATTGATTATTGATTATTTCGAACGTTAGCCCGAGTGGGTTTTTCGGGTTCGGAGATACCGAACGCTATATACGGACCTTCCTACTTGGTTCTCTAGCTAGCGTTTACGATGTAGTGCCATCTGGATCCACAGCATCTGGAGACAAGCTCCTAGCGTAAAGTTGACAGCAGGCGGCTAATGTATGCAATCTGCAAGGGGTGTCATATCCGACATCGGGTTGGAATTCCAGAGCAGAGACCAGAACGGAGACCAAATGATCGAAGAAAGTCCAGACAAGGCTCGAGATCGATGAATTCACGCAACGTATACGACACTCCAGATGCCTAGGTAGCCCCTGAAAGCAACTAAAATGGAAAAAGGGGAAAGGCAAAATTAGATCGCAACGCGCATGTCATACGGCAGCAGCTTAGGTGGATACAAAGGTTTCTCAGATTCGCTTTCCTGAGGACCGAGCCATCAAACGCGCCTGACAACTGACCATGCGAAATCCGAGCACGTGCGCGATAACCTCAAATCTATCCCTGCAGGACTAAGCATTGGAGAAGCTCACTTGGCGACGCCTCTCGCCGGAGCGCCTATTGCTTGACAGGCTCTGAAATTGCTTAGATTGCTTGGGCTAATCTGAGGAATCAAAGCAAGCTTTAGCCAAGATTCTGGAAGGTCCTGATGCAGCTATTGTCGCAGGTATCGATCTCAAGAGGCGTTGTTGGTCCTATAAGGTATAGTATACAATTTTTGTTTCAAATTCAAGGCAATTCCACCGGGCAACTCATTGTCCATGATAGTCTCAAGCAATTCATCTACTAAATCTCTCGGATAGATCGGAATGTATGACAGTGACACGCAACGTGATAACACGTGTTGGAGGTAGGTTCGAGATGTTGAGGGAAGGTGCGGAGATGGGAAGTCGCACATGGTCAAATACTGCATGCTGATTGGTCCGAGATCTGCATGGTAGATGCCGGGGTGAGCCAACTAGCGTGGAACTCTCCTACGTCAATATGTCAATCCAGACATCCGTTTGGGGTGCCATCTGGAAAATAATTGCTGGCAGAGTGATTTTCTTTGTACGGAGTAGATATTGGTTAATTGCTTCTGAAAGTCCGTGGTCGAAGCGCAGAATACATTCCACGTTATCCCTCTGATATTTCTGGAACTGAGATCGGCCCCGGGACTAAGGTATGGATAAGGCCATTGCCACTTTTCCCGAGGTATCCCATTGGCACTGCATTGGCATACATTGGCATTACATTGGCATCTTGAATTTAGCGAAGAGATGACCTTTCACATAACTTTTGTGCATGGAATATACTCCCTAGCCTATCCACACTTACTATGATCCATACCTCGGTCTATTGTAGGTACTCCATATAGGAGTTATTATTTAAACATCAAAAATTGAAAATTTATCGCCCCGCGAAAGTTTGGAAAGATCTGCCATGAACCGCAGGCGGTGGCGATCTAATTCGAGATTCTGCCTGCACGTGCTCAGTTGATTGGTTGCCGGCAGCTCCATGCTGGATCCACCTGATCCATCCATCTCCACTAAAAGTCGAAATTCTGCTTTCGGAGCCAAAATCAGCAAGAGAAGACCCATAGCCGCACCAAGAGATGGGCCCCCAGGAGGGCCCTGACCCCATCGACGTGCTTCTTGCCTTGACTTTTTTTTAAAAAAATTCATTTTTTTGGGTGGAGCCGCCACTCAATGCCGTTGCATGTCTTCCACTGTTCTCTCTTCTCTCTACCTTTTTCCATATAAGAGAGAGTCCCTCGCCACTTGCTCGAGTTCAAGTCACTCACCTTCCCCAACCATTGTGGTCACTTTGACTCTTCCCTCCCCCGCAATTGCACCTGTTACCAGGACTTTGCCTTGCTCACGCGACACCCGAGTACTTCCACGATGACCGACTTTGGTCCTCGTGCCCCTCATGGGCCCGACATGTCGGGAGACCATAACCCACTGGAGGATATGGACATCAATGAGAAGGGTGCTTTCGACTCCCTCATTCGCCCCGACGACAGTTACACCCCCGAGGGCACCTACTGGGCGGATCTCCCTCTGTGGAAGAAGATCACATTCGTCACCGCCTCCAACAATGAGGAGGCAAAGAAAGAGTTGGGCGATATCTGGACTATGATGAAGAAGGACCCCCTCTCGCCCATCTCCTACTACTTCCGCAACATGGTCCTCCCCGGTGCTGGTCTCGGTCTGGAGGGTTACGTGCTCTTCTCCATCGGCAACATCAAGCCTCTTTTCCAAAAGACCTTCCCTGATTGCTGGGAACACCACAAAATCTGTAGCCAGCAGTGGATCTACGCCATTGATTACCTCGAAATCATTGGTATTATTGTCGGTCAGATCCTGGTTGGAATCTTGGGTGACTGGTATGTTGCAATTGGATTATCCGTGGAAGGATATCATACTAACGTGGGACTAGGCTTGGCCGTCGCTGGGGTTTGATTCAGGACGCCGTCATCATGCTTCTCGGTCTGGTCATGTTGACTGCCGCCTGGGGTGTGACTCAGAATGGCTGGGTTATTTGCTATGCTTGGTGCCTCTTCATCTACGGCATCGGAGTTGGTGGCGAGTACCCTATGACTGCCACCAGCGGTATGGAAAACGCCGTCGGCTCTGGAAAGGTCTCCACCAAAGATGATCGCTTGCACCGTGGCCGCAAGGTCACCAGTGCCTTCCTGATGCAGGGCTGGGGTCAGTTCTTCAATCAGGTTCTGCTCATCATTCTCCTGCTCTGTTTCCACCACGGTAGCGGCAACAACCCTTACTCCGCCGTCGCTGTCCAGTGGACCTACCGAGTTTCCTTCGCCATTCCCGCCGTCGGTACTTTGTGGCTTGTGTACTACCGTGCCTATCACATGAAGGCTGCTAGCAAGCAACTTACCGCTGCCAAGAAGAAGTCTTCCGTCACTGGTTATGATGCCAAGTCTCTGAAGCTGACCTTCAAGTACTTCGGATTCCGCATCTTCGCGACTGCCGGTGGCTGGTTCGCCAACGATGTGTTCTTCTACGGCAACAAGCTCTTCCAGAGCGAGTTCATCAAGGTGATTAGTCCCGCATCCGAGTCTGTCATGCCTACCTGGCTGTGGAACTTGGTCAATGTCGGTGTCTCCCTGTGCGGATACTATTTGGCCTCTTTCCTGATCGACAACAAGCTGTACGGTCGCAAATGGATGCAGATTGTCGGTTTCATGCTCTGCTTCATTCTGTTCATCGTCCCTGCTTTCAACTTCGATTACTACCGCCGCCCCGAAAACATCAAGTCCTTCCAAACCATGTACTTCCTCAGCTCTTTCTTCAACCAGTTCGGTCCCAACTCGGTCTCCTTCTTGGTCGCTGCCGAAGTATTCCCGACCCCCATTCGTGCCTCCGCTCACGGTATGTCCGCTGCCTGGGGTAAAGCCGGTGCGCTTCTCGCTGCCGTCCTGTACAACTACATCGATACCCAGACCAAGTTCTACGTCGTGCCTTGGTTTGGTCTGGCTGGTGCTGTGATTACCGCGTTCTTCCTTCCGGACACCACTGGTTTGGACCTGAAGGAGCAGGAGCGCCGATGGCAATGCCTCCGCGCGGGTCGCGAGGAAGACTATCACGGCCCTGCCGTGCACCCCAAGCACCTCTCATGGTATGAACGATACATCCTGCGCAAGCATCGCTTCTACGATGCCAAACTCGACTACCAGCAGAAGGTCGAGGAGTACCGCATTGAGTGGGAGAGTGCAATGGCCGCCAAGTCCGCTGAAAAGGACGCTGCTGATGCCATGGATACCGACGACTCGCTTCTCGAGGGCCACGTTCACACCTATTTCCACCGGACCAGTCCTATGTTCAAGGGAATGGAGAAGAATGTGTCTGCCAAACAGGACAATTTCACCCTGCCTCCACCTGCGGAGAGCGAGGCCGAAGATTCTTTCTCCAATGAGAAGCAATAAGCGACGAGCTTGCTCGGTCTTTGGGGTTATTACCTGTGATGTGACCATGAACTAAATTCTCTTATTAAACTAGCTTTGAATAATTCTTTTTTTCTTTCTTCATTTTATAAAAAGCATATTGCACATACAAGTCGCTTTTTTTTTTTGGAAAACTTGATGCTCGCCATATGATTCAGCGTGCATGATTATTATTAGATATTGATACCACTTACCATGCTGGTCGGAAATTTACATATTGCTACATATAGCATCTTTGAATTCTCACTCAGATGTCAGAAAAGAGACTGGATTTTGTAGCTTTGGCCTGAGGCAGAAATGCTGACTAACATTATATCTTCCACCTGGACATGAATCGATGTATGTGCATCGCACATTCGGTCAAATTCGATGATACCCCAAACATAAAACCTCAGAGAAAGAGAAAAGAAAGAATCATGAGACTCTTTGCCTTTGGCTCCAACGGATCAGGCCAACTAGGCATCGGCCACGAAGAAGACGTCTCCACACCAGTGCAATGTCTCTTCGCGCAGCCAGAGCCAGCCCGAGAATCCCAAATAACCACCATTCAAAACACCGCCCTGGCAGATGAACCTGAGATTACTACTATCGTAGCAGGCGGAAATCATACCCTCCTCCTAACAGCCAGCGGCTCCATCTACGCCGCCGGCTGCAATGAAGACGGACGGTGCGGGCCGCACAGGGCAACTAAAGACTCAACCACGGCTGAAAACGAAGGAAACATCCTGCGCTTTCGTCAAATGATTCTCTCAGATGCAGTCTCCAACACAGAAGTATCCAAGTTCAAACACGTCTCCGCGACGTGGGAGGGCACGATTGCTGTAGCTTCTGTGCCAAGAAGCAGCAGCCATAACGTCGGCCAAGGAAAAAATCTCGAGACTGAAGACCGAGTCTTCGTATCAGGTTCCTCGCCCAAAGGAGAACTGGGTCTAGGACCAGACACTCCCGTCTCTGCCCCGGGGACGTGTATCCCGTCCTTTCCGCCACCGGATTTGAGAATCACAGCGCTGGCGAGTGGGATGGCTCACTCGGTTGCTGTGCTCTCGAATGGGGATGTCTATGGTTGGGGTGGGGCGCGGAAGGGTCAGCTCGGGAGCGAAAATCGAGAGGCTAGGATTGCTTATTCTCCTGTTCGGATTTGTGTGCCGTTTTTCGCGGAGGCTGTTGCTTGCGGGAGGGAGTTTACGGTTGTTTCGGGGCGTGGGCGGTTTGTTGTTCTTGGTGATAAAGGGAATCGCTGGGGGTTGTTGAGTGTGCCGGAAAGTTTATCTTTGGCGGGTTATGATGGGCATGGTTTACAGGATGATGAGCAAGGGTCTGGAGGTATTATTCGTCATAGCTATACTGGTATTGCGGCTAGTTGGCATGGGATTTATGTACATGCTGCGTCTGGTCCGGGACGGGTGGAACCGTCGATCTCGGATGCACCGACAGACTCTGATGCTGATCTTGGTGGTTCTATTGTTGCCTGGGGCCGCAATGATCGAGGTCAACTTCCACCGCCAGATCTCCCGTCTGCTGCTAAACTCGCTGTTGGTAGTGAGCATGTCCTTGCTCTCCTGGGAGATGGTCGAGTAGCAGCGTTTGGATGGGGCGAGCATGGAAACTGTGGACCTGATACAGATTCCCAGGGGAATGTGTCGGGTACATATAATGTGATTGCGCTTCCCGAAGCTGTGGGTGCTGACGCGAAGGTTGCCGGGGTTGGAGCGGGGTGTGCGACCAGCTGGTTGATTGTGACATGATCGCCCTTGGGATCTGGAAGCGCCGAGAATTGGTGATAGCTGGACTGCCCCCGGCAGGGATATTCAACAAGGGTATCCTCTCAGTCGAAAAGGCCATATTGGCGAACCTATCGGCTATCAGTATGCGGGTTGGAAGTCTCGCAAGAAAGGAAATCCATACCTGAGACAAACGCTGTGTCGGCGGGAGACCCATCTCGTCCTCCGGATCTTCGAGACGGTGATCATCCTGTCTTGAGAAGGAAGGTTCTGCATCGCGAATAGATGCCCCGAATGCATCCTAGGTGTTTGATCAGCCACCCATATATACCCACCAGAGGTGGAAAAAAACCACATACCTGTGTTCCCGACGCATCCCATCCAAGAATATCCTGCGGCTCCTCTTCTTCATTCATCTCATCCCACTGCCGGTCATCATCAGCAGGCACGAAAAGGCTATCGAATGCCATTGAAAGCCCAGTTGTGGCCGGTCGATCTGCGCTAGCCTTCTGGCTCAAATTTTCCAGCGTAGATGACCCATTGAGGGGACGGATCGACCTGCTTCGGGGTGGTGGCGGGGGCATCTGTGTGCTTGGAGTCACCGATGGGCGAGGATCGCGCGGCCTGGCCGCTGATATTGGGACAGGCAAGGGCGTTTGCCGGGGGATTGTCGCTCTTGTTGACGTGGGTGCGTCTTCATTATCTGCCTGGCCGCGGGTCATGACTGTGAACTCTGCGTTGATGCCTTCAAATTGGTACTCCAGTTGCAGAGGCTTGCAGGGTCGGGTGTAACGTGCTGTTACGGTGGCGTTTGCCGTTTCGGCGTGCGCGACTACGGCTTTGAAGTCTTTTAGGTTGATCGCAACGTGCATGTTCTCTTCAACCAAGTACTCTTGGAAGTCGCGCTTGTCTGCTGCTACGGAGGTATGGACTGGTTGTTTCAGTACTTCTGTTTGGGTTGTTAGTTGACGTTCGAGACTTGGTGGGGACGAACTCGACATACCCTTGCCCTCGGTGATTTTTGTTGTGAAGCTTGTGAACACGGCTCTGCCAGAATCGGAGTACATGTCTAGCTGCTCAGCAGATAAGCTAAAGTGTTCAATGAGCTGTCTGAGGAACCGTGGATCAGCAGTCCACATGCTGGTAGCTTTGGATTTGTCAAAGACGGCGTGTTGGATTGCCGCTGGTTCGTAGGTTAGCTTGTATGACTTGATCACGCCTAGATATAGTGTTAGAGATATGTAATATAAGCTATGAATGTCGTATCTATGCATAGGTGTCTTACCTAGTCCACAGATCATCTTTACTGTCAATCTACACTCGGTTTGCTGCAAATCTTCATGCAATTCCATGTCACAGCGTTCAACGGCCGTGTCCTTGTTTTTGTCAATTCTTCCTCGGAAGATAGAGAGAAGTGCCTGTATTAGATATGAGTATGAACCAATCAAGATAATGACCTACAAACTTGGAGACCACAAATCTAACCGTTGAGGAAGGGAACAAGGGAGTCCGTATACTAACTTTGATATAGATCTGGCAAAAGAACCGGTCTAGTGAAACACTGCCACTCCTGCCATTACTGCTTGAGTTGAAAGAATATGCTTCAAAGAAAATTCCCTTCTCAAACGCGAAGGAGGCAAAGCCCGTTTTGGTGGAATTGAGGGCACTGAGGCGGAGCTGGAGTAAAGTTAGCTAAAAGATTTTCATTTGCGGGCTTCCAGAAATTGAATTGAATTGATTAACCACGGGAGGCAATATGTAATAACCTACGATTTCAGGCTCTGCCTCGATGGCGACTGTTTCGCTGAATTTGGATAGGCATATCAAGGCGTCGTGGAGCCGGACTAAGGCTGGTGGGCCTAGCGACAATGAGAGCGATGTCATGACTGCTTTGGTGCTGTTTGACCTCTGGATGCCAAATAGGCCCGAGTATAGGACTGAATTGTGGATATCAATTGAGCCATCTCACTCAGCTTTGGGGCACGATTGTTTGAAGTTCGATGGAGACGTGGACAAATATTACATAAGCGGCATATCACGACGGGGCATCATCGTGCCACGCGCCCAGTGCCCCCAAAGATACATTGACTTGTCCATACAAAAGACGCTCAATTTTCAAATGTTGGACCTAGTAAATGATTTGTGTCTTCTGGGGCGCACTAACACTGAGTCTTTGTTGGGCGCTTGGCACGATTAGCGCTCAGAGTTGTTTTCACTGAATGTCACAACGAGAATTACGAGAGATACACCAATTGACCTCACCAAGGAGGCGTGCACCTTTTTGGCCTAACGGTGAAGACTGTTGATACTTGAATGAGGCTTGAATGCCTGGTATTATGGCTGAATATTGACTGGTTTGAGGCACCTTTACACGGTGTATTGTAAGTGATGTAGGGACAGAATAACTAAATCCCATGGCCCTCCAAAAACGAAGCTTTTGATCCCATACGAACAGGCAGCAGAGTTCGCAAAACAAGAGCCTCACAAGAATAAATGGGAGCGCAACTCTTGCTTCTACCTCCTTGCTGTTCACGGAAGTTGGGAGGGTTTCATCAATCAGGTAGACCTGAGCATGATAGGCCTTCATAGTATCTGGGGACCACAACCAGCAAAGGGTATCGAGGTTAGGAATGAAGCACCAGAGTCACCACTTGTTGATCTAGACCTAGGTGACGAAGCTTGGAGCTAGGGTGTGGGCGAGGAAGTCGACGTGATCACCTAGCTACCTCAATTTGACCCTCAGCACACCTACTGGCCCTTTGCTGACCGGGTATTCAATTTTCCCTAGAAGAGACGTACTCCGCGCCGGACATCCCTTGTCGCAATGACCCGTGTTCTAGCCCGAATCCTCCGGGTTATGTATAAAGACCAGACCGAGAAAGGTCTTGGATCTAGCATCTGAGATGTCTCCCGTCTCCCACCCCCTAGGCTCTTCATTATGGATTGAAAGCTGTTCAGGTCCCTCAGCCTATTTACCATGCCCACGAAGCAGAACTTGTCAAGCTCAATCTCCGAGCTAATACTGGTAAGCCGGGAAAATTCGGTGCTGGGAGGTATAGTATCTAGAACTGGGACCAGCATAATGACATTATGATGAAAATCTCCTACTTATTTGCGTCGGAAATTCCGGAAAAGATTCATCGAGCCTGGCTGATTTATGAAAATGCAGAGAAAGTGAGCGTAGCTTTGGTCCCTGGACTCCGTCGATATTAGCTAACAAGAGAAAGGAGAAATACCGTCGCCTTTGCCTACCGATGTTTTTACATCCGTTGAAGAATACAAAAAGATAGTTGGCTTCTATAACATTAGCAATTCGTCCTGGAATTGCGATCTGTATAACAGTTTCGATCCAATCATACACATACAATCACCAAAATTAGACTGGATCTTGATATAATTGTGATCGAGGGAGCTTTACGCGGCGCATAGCGAAAAAGAGCCTAATAAATGATTTGAATATCACTTGGCTGGACTGTTCACTTTGATTTAATTTTAGTCTGCTTTCCTATCGTACCCTAAGCTTGAACACTCATAAAGGGGGAAGTCGAAGTGGTTGGTGAGATCGGATTTTGTCTGAAACTCCGCGGACTTTCAACGCCAACTTCCATCTCCATATATCTCCATGGGTTCAACATTCAGCGCACGCGAGAAAATGAACTCGATTCAGATGTATAAATTCAAATCAATTCCTCTATTTGCAATGTTCATCTCCACCTCCAATCGATTTATACCTCCCAAAAGATGTCTACCGACGGATCCACCTTGGTGAGCAAACCTCACGAGAAAGAAATCATCTCAAACCTAGAAGGTGCTGAACTTGAAACTAAGCCGACCGGCTTTTCCTCCACCTTCCAAGAGGCTGTCTTCATCTTGATCATTGGCCTGTCGCAACTATTCTCTGTCGGCGGTTTAGGCAATGCTGCCTACTCAATGGAACAGATCGGTGCATCTCTTGGCACAAGCAGTAATGGGCAGAGATCATGGTTTCTAGCTTCCTACTCCCTCTGCGGTGGTGTCTTTGTCCTAGTTACCGGCCGCTTGGGTGATCACTTTGGCCACAAATACGTCTTCCTCTTTGGTTGGATCTGGATGGCCATTTGGTCACTAGTCTGCGGCTTCGCCCACGATGTCATTTTATTCGACATCGCTCGCGGTATGATGGGAATCGGCAATGGCGCACTAGCCCCTAACTCATTCGCGCTATTAGCGCGTGCATTCCCACCTTTTTCGGTCAAGAAGAACATCGCGTTTGCTTTCTTGGGCTTCTGCGCTCCCTCAGGCTACATCTTCGGTGGCTTGATCGGAGCTGGCTTTGCCGAAAACGTCACCTGGCGGTGGGCATTCTGGTTCTGGGCTATCGGCTGCTTCGTTTTGGGTGTGGCGACTTTCGTCGTTGTTCCTCACCGAATCGGCTCCCCAATTCCGGGATTGAGTCTCCGCCAATTCGACTACATCGGTAGCTTGCTAGGCGTGTCAGCCCTGATCTTGTTCTCTTTTGCCTGGAACCAAGCTTCAGTCGTCGGTTGGCAAGAGCCCTATATTTACGCCCTGCTTATTGTCAGCGTCTTCCTGATTATCGGATTCGTCTTCTCCCAGTCCCGTGTCGCTGCCCCGGTCCTGCCTAATTCCCTCTGGGGCCGCTCTGGCTTTGCACCCGTGGTCATTGCCATGGCATTTGGCTGGATGTCCTTTGGAATCTTTCTTTACTATACCACGGTCTACATTCTAACCATTCATAAAGCCCAGCCGCTTACCGCAGTGGCTCAAATGGTTCCCCTCGTTATTGGTGGCTTTTTTGCTACTATGGCTGTGGGACTTTTTATCGCTAAGACACCTGCTCAGTACATATTCGGTGTATCCATGTTCTCCTTCTTCCTCGGCAACTTGATCATGAGCTTCGTCAACTATTCGAATGTCTACTGGGCCTTTATCTTTCCCGCTTGTCTGCTTGTCGTTGGTGGACCTGACTTGTCTTTTGCCTCATCTGGAATTCTCATTACCAATGTCGTCCTGCCCGAAGAGCAAGGTGTTGCAGGTTCCTTTATCTCGACGGTTGTACAGTACTCCATCTCCATCGGTCTGGGTATCGCCGCCACTGTTGAGTCTCATGTCAATGAGGGTGGACAGAACCCAATTCGTGGATACCGGAGTGCATTTTGGTTGGGGATTGGATTCGCAGCTGTGGGATTCTTCGTTGTGATTTTCTTCGTTCGCGACCACAGATTTGAGTCCAAGTCAGAGGGTCAGCCTAGCCCTGAGATCATTTCCGAGCCAGCGGAACTATGAAGCAATATATGATATACTGGTTTCATTTCTTGTTGGCCGATATTGACCAGCTGAAGTGATTAATAGAATGCGAGAGATAAAACATGAGAAGTGTTTTCAAGGATGATATTTTGATCGAAAATTAGCTGGACTGTTTGTAATTGAGTAGATACTCCAGGGCTAGGCAATGCACCTAGCTTTTGCCATTGATTTACCTAGTCTCCTCGGTTGATATAAGAGAAGGATATTTTCAAGGATGTTTCGTCCACTAATTATGCCTTGTAGAACTTGTCTCATTGGGCCGCAATCAGCAATTTGATCTAATTTTCGATATATTGTCCACGCCAGTCAGATCAACTGTTGATACCGCATAGGCGATCACGGGAGATGGGTTTCGCCCCCACTACAGTCAAACGTGTTTATGTCGGGAAATCTCCAACTTGTCTTATATTCTGCTCGACATGGATGTCGCCCCCAAAAAGCTCACTCTCTCTTGTTCGAGATGCCGTGTCTCCAAATTAAAATGTGATCGCAAAGAGCCTTGTGTAAGTGCGCCTGGAGTTTTATGGAGATGTGAACTCATTGTATCTAGTTGGAATGCATAAAGCGTGACTGCGCCCACTTATGTACAAAAGATGAACGTCAACCGAGAGCTAAGCGGACCAAAAACAAACATGATGCGCCAAACAACCAGGTGACCCCGGAGAAAAAAGAGGAAGGACCGGAAATTGAAGAGACGGCGCATATCTTGGAACAATTCGTGCACATCATTCCTCTCCCCGAATCAGCAGGCGTGGCCCCTGATATCCCCAATCCATACTGGAAAACCGGGGATCCGCAAAGGAACGAACAAAAGCTTGCCTTGATCCGAGATGTGGTCCAGGCCCTGCCAGAGTGGGATATCATTCAAGCCCTCCACGAGGTCTTTGTCACGCGTTGTCAGGGACCTCTGGGAAATGTGGTGCACACCCCAAGCTTCAAGAAGCAAGCGGATCAATTGCACCACTGCTTAAAAATGAATTCCCCCGATGCAGCTATTGCCAGTACGCTATCCATGGACTCTCTTGCTGTTTTGCTTCTCGCGGTGCCTCTCCCCTCTAAACCCCGCTTTGATTTATCGCCGGCTGACTGTTTCCATACAGCTCGTGCTCGGACTCGCGTTCCATCCAACTCCGTCCCTTTTGGGTGCCCAGCTTACTCCGTTGACTTACCGCGTGGAGCAACTACGTGTCTCGGATGAGCCTATATCGACATGGCGATCCCTCAGTGTGCGTTGTCTCCATGGAGGGATTTCCCTCTTCTGCGGCTCTCTCTTCAGCTTACAAGCAGCTATCATGCTCCTGTTGGATGCAAAGGAGAGCTCATTAGAACTTGATGCCATCTTGGTTACCGCCATTTCAGGTGCGCGCAAACTTGGATTGCATCGTTTGGGTAATGCCACTTTGGATGCCTCCTTATTTCATGACTTGACGACCGCTGAACCACCTCATATTCGCACGGAGATTGCGACTCGAATTTGGTAGGTAATACCAATCCTCGGGTTTTGCTCACTCGAACAAGGCGCTAAATTATCCGGGACTGCTAGGTGGACTCTTGTCTTGAGAGACTGGTCGCGCGGACAGACTCTTGGCTACTATACTATTCATCCCTCACAGTTCAATACACGAATGCCGTTGCATATTAATGACGACGATCTACTTAGGACACATGGCAAGATTCCCGAGCGCCCTCGGTCTGAGTTTACCATGCTGTCCTATACGGTACACGCGTTGGAAGTCTCAGTCATTGTACGGGAATTACTTGATCTTGGCGACACCGCAAACGAGATTAGCCAGCGCCGCCAGCATCTCAATCAACAGTACGAAAAATATGTGGCAAATTTACCGTCCTACTTTAGGCTGGGAAGCACTGTCGGACTCACAGCCATGGGTCCCATGGCCGCCATCCCAGTCGAACGATTCATGTTGCATCAACAGCTGTGGAGCCTACTTCTCCGCCTACATCGCTGTACACTCTCCTCCCCCATGGGGCGTGCATCTTGCCAGCAGCTGGCTCATAACATTATCAACACGCAAGCCCAGATCCAAGCCCGTTGCACAGTTTGTAGCTCACTATCCACCAATGAGACGCAACTCTTCAATGCTACCGTTGTACTGGTCTTGGGGTTATTGTTTGATTCTCCGTTGACCGAGGCTGAGCGCTCGAGTGCTCAAATCGGCCGCTTAATGACACGAGACCATATTCGAGAGGCCATTGAACTGCTGCGTACTAAAATCTCACCTGAACGATACTTCGGCGACACTATGTCCCAGGAATTGTTGCAACACCCGGTGTCGCGCAGTGTTGTTGCCCTCGAGGCCCTTATGAAGTTGGAAGAGGATTCAGGTGGTTGTGTAAACCGCCATGCCGGATCGAACCAGAAGCGCCCCCTCTACCACCAGGTGGTAGAGATTTTGAAGAGATTGAATGCTCCAGCCACTCCTATTGATCCACCCGCTCTGGAATTACCGACTCCTGGGGATACCTCTTTTGATCATTCCTTGCCCGTTCTAGATGGCCTTCCCGATATAGATGTGATGCCCATTCTGTCTAATGGGCTGAGTCCTAATATTTGGGATTTCTTGGACTTCCAACCACCGGAAGACGTAGGAAAAGAGAAGTTCTCACCTTTGGCCCATGAATTTCCGTTAACTCTAGGGAGCGGGCCCACGTTACATCCTGCAACAACCCCTTCGAGTGCTGACGTCTTTATGGCTGCTGATTTTTACGATGTCATGGAAAATGAGAGCCTTCCTTCCTCGTGAGACGTTGGCTGACCTCCTCACTCGGAGTACTTGTACTTGATGAAGAATACCAATTAGAGAGACTCTGTATCAACGTCCTCCTACAAGCTGTCGTCCCGTCCCTGCTGACATGCCCTGTAGCGTGTGTTGACGGTGAACTAAGAGTAGGCAACAAGTATGGAGATTTTACTGTTGCAGATTGGAGCATACACTTGGCGAAACTACCGCCAAGCCAATTTGTTCAAACATGACCAGTGGGAGTCATGGGTAATAACCCGAAGGTAATCAATGGGAGCCGTAAACTCATGTCGTAGAAACCGGGCTCATATCAAGAGATTCTCGGGCAATCCAGATGTCAAAGTACAAGATAAATACAGAGCTCAATGTGTTGAGCCTTAATGAAGGTATATATACAACATTGGATCAAGTCCCAGATAATGATGAACGAAAACGCACAACAGCAAAATATCGTAGAGCTTCGTCAAAAAAGGGGGTATAGTGGGGTAGCAGATGATTGAAGTATCAGTGCTGAATGAGTGTAAATTTGAATATCAGACACGTTGGACCCCACTACCCAACGCCAGGAGCGTTTCCTGTGATGGGGCGTCCCTCTGCATCATCTCGTGTACTTTCCTCTGTAGCATTCGTATTGATCCCAGGGTCTTGCTGCCGATCCTGTTGGGGTAAGGGTCGCGGAAATTGCATTTCCAGAAATCGTCGTCTGCGTCTTCTGGTTCGAACAGCATGCAGAAAGTGAAGACCAACCTGGGCGAAGAAGATCGCCAAGAAGGTGGCAATCACGAATCCCTGATGGATATATGCTTCATTCTTCTTTTCTGGTTGGCGATTGTCGCTGGGTTGTTCACGCTTGTTGAAAAGTTGTGAGCTAACACCAGGATACGAAAGACCAGAGCCACCAAACGAGACCGAGACCGAGAAAGAAAATGGTGTTAAGGATGTGAATACATTCGGCGATATCGAGGCGAAGACTCCCGGCAATGGTTTCAGCAATAGAGGAATCATGCAGAAGATGAGGAGAGGGACGGATAGTCATAAGACAGAGAAAAGTGACGTACGAGTAGACCTAGTCGAAAATGTCAGAATAGACTTTAACGGGGAGAAGAGGTGAAATCTACCAGTTTCGAGCCTCGAGCTGTCTCGCCCATTTTGCCGAAACTTTGAGTCTCTCTCGAACACTTGTAGCGGCAAGTATTGGATATTTCTCTTCTTCGGAGATGGGCAAAATGCTCGCAAACCACCATGGGAAGCGGGCTGCATCTATAGGAATGGGTCCATATGCTAACATGACGCGCGGGTGCAGCCAAGGGGCCCCTGATCTGTGCTGGTTGCTGATGAACTCCCTTGCCAAGAGGAGTAACTGTTGAGTTGGCATTGAGTCTAGCGGACGTTCTGATTCATTCACCCCTGGTAGAGCAATTACACCGTCTCCTGAGGTCTCTGTTGACTCAAGCCGCTCTTCCTCTGCAAGCGAGATATCATCTACGCGCTCCGTTTTGGCAACATAATAGCCATCCAGAATTCCCGAGTCGACAACCTTGAACCGTGACACACCCGTAGCCACCACAAGGCTGCGACCGTCTGGAAGCAGCTCGCATCGTTCGATTGTCAAGAGCGTTCCGTATTGCATGAACGGTGCGTCACGCATTTGACCTATCTGTGCCCGGCCTTGTCGATTGTACATGACCATGCCAAACTTTCCGTTTCCATTTGCGAGAACCCGCCGAATCATAAGTCGGTATCTGGGCTCAAAGACATGAAGAAAAGTCGGCATCGTCGGGAATGCTAGCGTGCACACAAAAAGCGGTAAGTTCTTCTCATGATCCAGGCCTGTCTCATCCTGGGCGCTGGTCTCCCGCCTGACTGAGATCTGGTCAGGAAAAAGGTGGTCGATCAGCCGCGCTACGGTCTGGTTTATAGGCTCTGATTGGAGATCATTCGGCATGCCTAGCTTTCGGCGACAGATAGGACACAGATCGGTATGGTCCAAGACCCGTGCGACACATTTCCGGCAGAAAGTGTGGCCGCAAGGCGTGGTCATCGGATCCAGAACGAGTGCGTAGCAAACTTGGCAGTCTAATTCGGCGCGGAGGCTGTCTCGCAGCGTTTGGAAGTGAATGAGATCCTGCTCTTCTATACCTCCGGCTGGGGTTGTGGAATCTCCATAAATGACCTCACATGCACCAGACGGAAATCGGCCTTCCAGTGCCAGGCTATAAATCCCCCCAGCCACCCACGTCGTTTCAAGTGTGCAATACCTTCCTGATTCTGTCCATCCTTTTTCCACTGCAGTAATGGTCCATCATTCTCGGACCAATCTCGAGGTACATTGTTTGCCTCTGACCCCAGTATTTCTCCGAAAACATCAACCAGCTTCCCAAGCAACACGTCAGCGCCACAATCTCCAACACAGTGGTCCCCAACACACGCCTCGTTTCCTTTCCAAAAGCATGTAAATTCCTGGTCCCTCCCCTCAGCCACAGGGTAAGTGATACCCGTCCGCGGCCGAAATGCGGGTAAACATTCCCGACAGACTGAGTTACCGCATGGTAGACGAAGCGGACTTTTCAAAGGGCGGGAACATTGTTGGCATTGGATCAACTGGATGACGCAATGAGGCATATTTGCCGTATCGCTAGGTGTATGCTCTTCAGAGCTTGAGACCTCCAAACTCTCCATTACAGTCGGGGTGGATTCACCGTCGATGAGGTGTGTCTGTGGCAGAGATTCCATTGCATTTTCCATATTACTGTTAGTATAAATCACGGCAAAGGGGAGACACAAAAGGATAATGAAGCTGGAGGTTAGGGGGATCCGCTATCTGCACGTGCCCAGGTGCGGGACCCACAAGTAACCTCGATCTTCTTATCCGTACGGAGTAGTTCTTCCTTGCTCTCTTCCCTCATAGAATTCTAGTTAAAAGGCATCATACCTTAGACTAGTAATCTCTTACAATTCGGCGAAAAACTGGTGGTTGAGGGTACAAAAGGAGCATTATCAATGTTATTGTCAACTAGTGGTACTTTTTTCGCAGTCCTCGTGCGGTGGGACACAGCGGACGAATGCCGCTACATTTCTTGGGGATCTTAAGGATTAATTCGACCGCCGGATTAGTAATTCGACTGTCTTTGGAATACTAGCTCCATTAGGGAGTACTAATAGTTAGAAACAACACACGGCCGTCGAAATGAGTTGCACCCTCGTTCGGCCGTGTCAGCCACAGCTCTCTTATGTGATGTGTATGTGATCAAGGCAGCTTTAAAGTATATCCCCGAAAGCTCAAGACTACAAATGGCGATCTCCGTACCCTTTCATAATATTCTGGGGCGCAGAATATTTAGCAACTCGAATGATGGCAGGCAATTAGGATATAGAGCAAGGCAACAAAGCCGCGCAGTCGACAGCCATTACATGAGGTACTCGCAATGCGCAGATCGAAGCTACATTTCATCTTCTAGCACTTGTATTCTCAGCAACTGTGGGTGCCTTTACGCACCTTTCTCCGCTTTGGTTGCCCGTAGGTGTCATGCGATGGTGCAACATTCGGAACAGACGTTGTTGATAGGACGGAGATTGAGTGGGAAAAAATAGCTATTTGCATTGTGTGGGTAAAGAGGGCATTGTTGCATGATCTATCTCAATCCCAACCTGCGAGTGAGATAGTGTGATCACTGTAAGCAGTATAACGGATAAAGAAGATCCCTTTGACACAGTCGTGGGCTACGTATTCCAAGATGCATATTAAGATCTACAGACTCACCGCATATTATAGTACAATCAGGGTGAATTGAAAAATATCCAAAGAGGGATAGATACTATGAGTATATTATAGATTAAGCTGATATACCTCTGCCGTGTAAAGTACAAATTCCATAATCCAAGCTCCGAGATAACCGACTTCAACCTCCATAATTGGAGTTGTCAGCGCATGAAAACGCGGGTTCTAGACATATTAGTGATAGCTCATTGCACGCTTATTGTTTGACGTACTGATTGTTCCGTATGCATAAGCATCTCTAATCTGTAGGCCGACTCCGTACGTCCCACCGACTATGAAGAAGAACCCAAATGGAATCAAAAACACATGCACCCAGTACATCAATCGCTGGATGGCAGTACCTGTCCTGAAGCTTGAGTGATCGTACAGCCACAGCCAGGCCGGTAGGACCATTGAGAGAGGAGCAAAACACAATGAGCCCGCCAATGCGTTCAAGTAATTGAAGATCGGGATTGCCTCGGCGCACACAAAAGAAATGAGGGCGAGCCCAAAAGTGCACGTCAGCCAAGTCACCCAGTGAGTGACAGTGTTTTGTTGCAAGTGTCTTGTGTTGCGTAGTAATCGCACGAAAATATACTTCGCGGCTAGCTAAAATCATTTTTAACGTAGGTTCTTCTCCTCGGATGATACTCGAAGGCTTACATGCATATAGACCGAGGCACTTATAACAAGGCCCAGAAGACCAATGCCATATGCTACCATTTTGATCGTCTGTCCAGCGCTCTAAAGAAGCATCAGTACGTACTTCATGGTTCCAGAGTGGTGCAAACCCACCCCTAGTGACGGACTGGCGACCCATTTTCCACACCATCGGTAGACGACCAGGCTGAAGCAGAGATAGCTTGATGTCACGAATCCCATGCAAAGATATAGTGACTTTCGGTAATCTTCAGGACGCTTCATCTCAGCCATGACGGGAAGGAAGGCGCTTGTCGCAGAGCTTGAGTAGAAGATTGTGCATGTAGCGACCACGCCGGCTGTAAAAGATGGATAGGCGATAGCATTGAAGCCAAATTCGTAATCGCCTGTCTGAGGGGCGGCTGCGGGTCGATCACGTTGTGTGACGGCAATGACCACCGTCAAAACCGCAACAAAGATGGAGCCGCAGCCAAGATAAGTGAGCCAGCCTAACTGGTTCAACTTTCTGATCGAGGCTACCGAAGCCACAACGGCAGCTGCTAGAAATGCCCACCAGACTGTGCATGCTGCATGATGGGACAAGGTATTGAGACCAACCGAAATTCCAACAATTACTGCTCCGGCGGACAGCACGTATGCGATGATGAAGAGAAGACCAACGATTTCCTTTGTAACTTTACCGCCCACAACCTCGGCCATATCAGCGACACTATGACATCCTCGATGTCTGAGACGGAACTTGCCCAGAACAACTGCAACATAGGTATTGAAGGCACCCCATCCTACGACGTTAAGCGACCCGCCAACCGCTCCCAAGGTGTACATCGCAGTTGGAATAGATAAAACACCAACGGCAAACAGAATCTTGATAAAGATTACTGAAGCCTTTATCCAGCCGACTGTGCGATACTTGACTCCATCTTCTGTGTCGTTGAACACCTCGGTCTGTTCGGGTACCTTCTCACAGTAGCCCTGTTGGGGACTTGGTGCTCGCTCAATATCGGGCGATTTGATATCGGAACTCATCGAATGTTGAGTGTCTGTGGTCATGTTTGGAAACTTGAAATAGTATACATAATCGTTTCATGGACAATAAGAATCACACTATATAGTAAAACGTTGCCAAGCGTAGGCCAACTGCCGTCGGCGAAATCAAGCCACAATAGATAAGCGTGCATTTATGCGGGGAAATGCTGGCTGCAAGATAGATGGAGACTGCATGGCTACTCGAAGAGGATAATCGGAATGTAGGTCATAGTATGTACAAGGTGTTCACGGTGGAGAGAGCGTTATCAGTGGCCGACGGCCATAACTCCCCAATCTCCCCAGCACGGCCGACGGCGTGGATTTCCCCACGCCCGTTTTCGACTTGGAATTGACCCCGATCAACAATTCAAATACTTTCTTGTTTGACCTATCCGAATGCATTTATCCTCTTCCTCTGCACTTGCTTCATCTTTCCTTACACTTTGATATCAGTACCCGAAAATATGGCGTCCTCACAACTTCCTTTCAAGGTCAACCAGGAACGACTACTGGAGTCGCTACATGCGAGTTGCCAACATGGCTCTGCGCATTCATATGGAGAGTAAGGTTACTCACTCTCCAGCCTCTTCGACCTACGCTGATTGTGCTGTTATCAGGGATTCCACAGAAACCGGAATGGCTAGGCTTAGCCTAACAGACTCGGATAAAGACGTAAGAGATTGGTTTATTGAGTCTGCAAAATCCCTTGGCTGTCATACCCACGTCGATCAAATGGGCAATCTATTTGCGATTCGCCCCGGAAAGAACAAGGATGCCCCTCCCATCATGATGGGTTCCCATCTTGACACGCAGCCTACTGGAGGACGGTACGATGGCATCCTCGGTGTCATCGCTGGCCTAGAAGTACTGAAAGTACTAGAAGAGAACTCGTTTGAGACAGAAGGAAGCATTGGAGTCGTTGATTGGACCAAGTATGTCTCTTCCCATAACAGGCTGAACAACTGGCTGATGAACATACCTAATAGTGAAGAAGGAGCACGATTCCCGGTGATGGCTATTTCGGCTGCAGTCTGGGCCGAAGCGATTCCTCTCGATACGGCTTGGAACTTGAAGGAAATTTCCACCGGTGACAACACACCTCGCAAGACTATGAAGGAGGAACTCGATAGAATAGGCTATGTGGGTGAAACCCCAGCCTCGTTCAAGGCCAATCCTTTTGCTGCTCACTTTGAGCTTCACATTGAGCAAGGGCCCATATTGGAGGATGAAGGTCGAAAGATTGGTGTTGTGCAAGGTCAGGAGTTTTTGACTAATTGGTGATCAATACTAACCATGCCCAGGTGTCCAAGCATTTAAATGGTTTGATATCACTGTTGGTGGTAGGGATACCCACGCAGGCACAACACCGCTGTACGCGCGTCAAGATGCTGTACTATGCGCTGCTAAAATGATCACCACTGCGAATTCGGTCGCAAAGAAGGCCAGCGGTCTCGCTACAACGGGGATCATACACTCGGAGCCAGGAACGGTCAACACTGTAGCTCAAACGGTCAACTTCAGTCTGGACCTTCGCCATACCTTTGACAAAGACCTCGAAAAGATGATTGCAGAGTGCGTGGCCGAATTCCAGAGAATTGCGACCGAAGATAGCGAGCGAGGCTGCACCGTCGAATGGAAGGAGCTGGTCGATAGCCCCGCTGTTCATTTTGACAAGGACTGCATCTCCGTGGTTGAAGAAAGCGCGAAAGCTGTTCTTGCGGAATTCCCAGATCCAGCTTCAGGAGGAAAGCAGTGGCGGGATATGATCAGTGGTGCCGGTCATGATAGTTGCTACACCAATCGGCGGTGCCCAACGAGCATGATCTTCACACCGACTCGCAATGGCATTAGCCACAACCCTGTGGAGTATTGTTCTCCCGAAGACTGGTAAGCTATGAATGATATTTCTAGTGATGCTTGCTAACTAGTCCAGTGCTATTGGTGCCAACGTCTTGTTAGGTGCTGTTTTAGGATATGACAAGCTCCGCGCGAAACGAGGCGACTTTGCTTGAGGCAAGTATACGTACAATAATGTATGAAGTATTGAGGCCTGTATAGTATGTAATGGAAGAAAGATTATATATATCAAATGATCTCGTAAAAACTTGCAACCCGAGTGAAATATTTCTATCAGAGCTTTCAGGGCAATTTCATCGGCTAAAGACTAGTCCGCCCCCAGTTTACTTGCCCACCAATCGGCGGCTTCTCCTTACCCCTGATTTCCATTGTCTCGCCATTGTAGCCAATTCTTGGCTAACGATCTAACAAGGTAAAATGAATAGAGATAGGGAAAGTGCTTCCAATCTCGATAACATTACTACTTCAAGTGGCCGTGTTGCGAGCGTGCGAAGGTATCGTTCCAAAGCACAGAGACCGTGCGATCTGTGTCGGTCCCGCAAAGTTCACTGCAATATCCCCGATCCATCCCAGCCGTGCACACTTTGCGAGCGTACTAGGCGATCTTGCACATTTCTGGAAAAGCCGAATCGTAAGCCCAGCAAAAAACAAGCCCAAGACTTCGGCCCACTGTCGCAATCCCCTCGACGTGATGGATTCTCGGAGTCTATTGCCGGGGGCATAGTCTCCGGTACAACTATCGACACACAGAGGCCGCCCTCCATTCTTCCACCCTCCCAGGATGGAAATCGATCCCAACAACTTCCAGGCACAGGTAGTGCATTCAGCTCCACGCAAAATCTGTGCTGATAGCTGGCTAATAGCTGGCTGCAGATGATCGTTTTCTATCTGACATCCGTGGTGTGCCCAACGAATCACTCCTCGACAGTCCCTTGATCGCAACTGGCTGGCCTCGCGATGACTGGCCCACGTTCAACAATGACGAATTCCAAGACATGTTTGACTCTTTTGGGCGAGAAAACATCTCGGACCTACTACCTGCTGACTCAACCAGCTGCCTTGGTCTCAATACTACTGATAAGAGTCCATCATGGTCACATTCCAGTCAGCCTGAAGGCTTAGAGGAGTTAACCTTCGATCAAAAGCCCGATTTCTCCTCTCAACTTTTTGGGTTCTCGGGCGAGTCTGACCCATTCCTCTTGCGAAATTACCCGTATGATGACTCAGGTGAAGTGAAGTTCTTCAGGCTTATTTATAGAATGGCTTCAAATACAGCCGCTGGCCCCGAACCCGACAATATAGTTCTCTCTGAAGGCCAACGGGGAACGAGATCGGCCGGAACCGTGCCTGTTTACTTTCTGCAAAACCATAGCCAAACAGTATCCCGGTCTTTACAAGCTATTGAAAAGTGCATGTTCGAACAAGGCACGTGCACCCCAAGAACCCAACTCGACAATCTCGTGAGTCCAGAGATGGGAGTCGGACTAGTGAAGCTGTAGCTACCATGTGCCCTCAGTAGCGGGTTCCCCTGCTAATGGTTCAAAGGTATTTTCGGTACATCTTCCATGCACTCCCAGTTCTTTCTCGCTCCTTTGTTCTTCGAGACATTGAAGACTTCGTGAAAAACGCCTCAGTTGGGCTTCTTGCCGCAATATACGCACTTTCACTACAATTCACTGCATGGGATGACATCCTTTGCGTTGACAGTGGCTATAACAAACCATCATCAGAAGATTTGTGGGGCATATCGTATGCCTGTGTGCAGAGAGAGATGCACTTCCCGCGTCTATCAACAATCCAGACTTCTCTCCTACTCCTCAATTTCGACCCTTTCGATCCAGCTTCCGCAGAGAATCCTTCGGCGTGGGCTTTGGCAAGCTCAACACTAGCCATTGCTCAGTCTTTGGGGTTAAATATGAATCCAATAGGCTGGGATCTACCTATTTGGGAAATTCGCCTCCGGCGACGCCTGTGGTGGTGTGTTTTTGTCGAACACAGCTGGCGAGCCGTCACTCATGGGCGGCAATCAATAATTTCCTACGATAGCTGGAATGTGACCCCTCTCGGCTTGGCTGACTTTGAAGTCAACCTGAATCCTGGAGCCGGATTTGGGGTGGATGATGTTTGCCCGGATTACTTTATGCATCTGAGTTCGCTCACGATTATTGCTAACGATTTGTGTCGGACCTTCTTGTGAGTTCGAACCACAATTTCATTTTTCCTTTCTAGTCATTCTTGCCTCGTTCCATGGCTGTCTCTATCAAAGGTATCCTTGAGTTTGCTTTATCAACGTCCACTAATTGGCACCGCCAGCTCTCTCCGCTCTGTCTGTCAGCAACAACCTTTGGAGAGCTTGATAGATCAGGCTCGAGTGTTTCGCCAGCAACTACAACAGTGGATCGGTGCACTGCCGGAGTCACTTCACATGCCAGCACCAGCGCAGACACACTCGGAAACAGATGAAGAACCAGTCGATACTCGCGGTAGCTTGCACATTTCATACTTTACAGTTCAAATCCTGCTCTTCCGCGCTCTTTTACGACCAATACTCGACGACAAATTAGAGCTGGATCACATTCAACCCTCGGTCGCAGCCATCCTAGACGCATCGCGAGGCTTGATCCGCACTGTGACTCGTTTTATCTACAGCCTCGATGCTAGACACCAATCAGCTTTCTGGCCGACATATACGAGATCATGCTTCTCTTATCCGGGGCAATTCAGCTTCATGCTATGTTTCCAGCACAGAGAGCCGCATATGATGATTAATGACCAAAAGCTCTTGGGTGTTTGGAGACAAACATTGCGTACACGCGCTCCATCTTGGCCACTTCTTCGTTTTGCGGCTATTCGAGTTGATGGCATCTTTTGGAAGAACTTGGTCAACGTCGCGGCTGCTTCTCACAATGTTGACACCTCAACATGAGCATTTTGTAGATGAAGATTGTTATTTAAAGCCAGTGGTGCTTCATTCTTACCAAGATATCCTTCATAACTTCATGCAATGATTTTACTTTACTAAGGGGACCATTGGGAATCTCCACCAACGGTCCAACCACTCTGGTTGTCAAGCTGGCAAAAGAAAAGGTCGGGCCTTGAAAATAAGCTTCAGCAGGCAAAGATGGGTATCTACCTCTAGGATGCATAATCATGTACTGTCCAAGCTTGTCTGTATCCAAAGTGAAATTTGGCCTAGGATGCGAAGAAGTATTTCCTGGGCCATTAAGATATGCGTTTGTCTATCTATTAAACCCACGCGGTCTCAACATCCCAAGAGCCCTCACTCCTACTTCCTGCCAATTTGCTTTCTGTGCGATGCAAAAATTGACCATAGCCTCGAGCACCAACGACGCCTCCTTCATCCCTGTCCCAAACCACTTGTCCACGAAGCACGGTATAGCGCGGCCACTGCTTCACCTTGTGCCCCTCGAATGGAGTATAGTCGACGTTATGGTGAAGAATGTCGTTGGTGATAGTCATATCAAGATCCCCTTCGGGGTACCAGATGACAAAGTCGGCATCACTGACCGAGGGAATAAGAGCGCCTTTCTTCGGATACATGCCATACAATTTGGCGGGGTTGGTTGATGTCAGCTCCACATATCTCTGTATCTTAAGTCGATCAGCGGAAAGGACCAATGGCATTCGGGTCTCGACACCAGAGAATCCGTTGGGAACTAGGTGGAACTGTCCCTCGGGATGTTCTGCGGTCACACTCGATCCTTTTCCAGACTTCGAGTCGTTGAAATTGAACGGGGAGTGATCGGACGAGAGAATGGTAAACGTTCCGTCCTCGAGACCCGCCCAAATAGCCTCATGGTCGGATTTGTTGCGTAGCGGTGGACTGCAAACACACTTTGCCCCCTCAAGCCCAGCCAGATCCACGTTTTCGTTGCTAAGGAATAGATATTGAGGGCAAGTTTCGGCATAAACGGGAAGCCCGTTTGCCTGGGCTTGTCGGATGTTCTCAACGGCTCGAGGATTGGAAACATGTACGATTAAGATCGGAGTATCGATAAATTCAGAAAGACAAATTGCACGGTAGCTGGCCTCAATCTCGGCGGCTGCAGGGTGAGAGGCGGTATGGTACCTTGGTGCATATAGTTTGCGCTCATGCAGTTTCTTGGTCATCCACGCAATCACGGAGTCATTTTCTGCATGTACCAGAGTTGTGACTTTGTGTAGACGGGACTGGAACAAGACATCTAAGAATTGCTCGTCATTCAGACGTAAAGCTTCATAGGTCATGTATATTTTGACGGATGAGATGCCCAACTCTCGGAAGGCTGGAAATTCCGCAAGCGTGTTTGCGCATGGGTTCGAAATGATGAGATGGAACGAGTAGTCGCTATAGCATTGGTCCTGGGCGCGTTCATGGGCACTATTGAGGGTTGCGAGAACACTATCCTCATGCTTCCGTTGAGGTGCAAAGGCTACAATGGTGGTTGTACCTCCCGCAATCGCGGCGCGGGTGCCTATGAGGCGTGTCAATTTCATGAACACGTTAACCGTCGGCTTTAGATATTGGGGGGGACTAACCAGACTCAAAGTTGTCTGCAGTGGAGCCGAGTCCAAACAGAGGCGGCTCTTGGAGGTGAACATGGGCATCAATTCCTCCTGGCTTGGAAGAAGTTTAGCACATGGTCACGATTTCACTTGTAAGAAGGATGAAAAGAAGAGGAAAAAACCAACCGTAACCAGAGCTCCTTTGGCATCAATAATCTTTTTGGCCTTTGACCCAGCCAGGGTTCCTTTGGGGGACGATCGAGTGGATCTTTCCGTCTTTGACGCCAATGTCACATTGTACAACTTCTTCAACGGTGGCTAAAGTACAATTCAGCACAATGAGATCTAGGTCAATATTCAATTGTTCAGCCATATTGAGGGTAGGTAAAAGTGAAAGATTCTGTGTGAGGACTGATACATTTTGGAGTGTCAACAAGCTGTTAAGAGGGGCACCGCCGTCGGCATCCTTATCAATTGAAAGGGCGGGGGATCCCGTCGGCGGACTAAACACGCTAGTCCGGATTTGGTGACAGCCAAACGCTTTGAATCCATGGATCGATGCACCTCCCACGTGGCTGGAAATGCTATCTGTGCTCCACTATAGATAGATAAGCCATCCGTGACTGATCAAAAAGATCAAACGCAACCTTTTGAGCTTTCCTTTTGATAGAGAAATTGAATTTCAATGCATACATGTTACTTTGGAGAAAAATGAAAGACATGAATGATCATTCAAAAACTGGCCTCTAACGGTATGCATTGGAAAATCGGCTGCCAGCTGCCGCTTCCCTTGTCGTATTGATTTCTCGAAAATCCCAGATATAGTTGGTTTGGACCCTGCGAAAACGGAGCGAGATCTTCCTCTGTGATCCACGAAGGTTGCCACTCATTTGGTCTGAAGATAGCATAGTCATGTACACGAGCCTCTTCAGGAATGAGTGCTGCTTGTGAGCCGACTGTCTCATGCGTTGCTATAGAGGCTGGTGAGCCGCCTGAGACACTCTTGGCAAGGGCCTTCTGAGAGGCTACTAATGTGTTCTCTTGCATTAGGGAAAAGCTATAGCTTTCCTCCAGCTTCATCAATATTTCGGACAAAAGAACCACCGGGGCACATTTGAAAAATCCTTGTATCGGAGGCGATAGTCGCAATAGATTCAAAGCGCTTCGCCGCAAGTCTGGGTCGCGGCATCTCAACACTGTCAGAGCGAGAGGAACACCCACACTCATCTCAAAGGTGAATGGTGGTTGGGCACCGTTTGGTCCTGCCGGGGCACTGAGAACCAACTTCGACTGCTCGACGATGGTGACAAAGTCTGCAAAATGGTCATCAAAGGCGGTTTCCTGTTGCCTTAAGCATCCGGCCAGATAAATCACAGCAGCAGCATGATATGTGAGCAGGATAGGCTCTGGGTTTATGGAAGCAGTAGGTACGGAGCTGTTGCCTTGGCACATACTGATGTATGCCCGATGCCATTCAGCGAGACGGGCTCGGAGTGTTTCTTTTTTCGCGACCATTTCTGGACTTACGGCGGAATCTGCCCTAACTGCCTTGAGGTGCAAGTTCGCCTCGCGCTCAAAGAGGAGAGCTTCCGCGGCTAGGGCAAAAACCGTAGTTCTTGCGGAATCGACAGATGCAAAGCCAGAGCTGATGTCTCTTTCTACAATGGAAAGAAGTTCAACAGGAAACTGAGTCCCTGAAATAGTCAGGGAACCTGTGCCCAGTCGTAGGAATAAGGGAGCAATGCTGCGTTCCAACAGGGTAGCCTTGCTGATAGATAATCCTCCACGGCCAACTTGGGCACGGAGGTCATGCATCAGATTGAGACCCTGTTGGTAGAGCTCTAAAGCTTTCTCCATACGTCCTTGGATTGCCTCCACGCAAATAAACAGTGCGCAGCTGACGAGTGCAATATACGGATCTGCATTGCCTCGCTGAATCTGTGAAGAAACACCAGAGATGGATCGCGAGTACCATGTCAATGCTTCCTGTTGGACATGATTAAGCAGACGTGTCTGACTTCGGCGATCTTTCAAAAAATGAAAGTGCACGCATTGCTTCGGATTTTCATACAATGCACTAATTGCAATCATTGCATCCCACACAGCGGGCTCACTGCGGCAGATCTGCGGAACAACCCCAGTCCAAAATTCTACATCAAGTCCACCTGCGAGATGTTGAGACACATGCTGGAAGTAATATGCAAATGCACGACGTTCACGCCATGCTGCATTTTGAGTCACTGGCAATGCATGGCTAGATATGGAGAGAGCCCGTGGAGATGTATCTGTGCCCTCATATTCACATTTTCGTCCTGTACTAGAGCAGCGCAGGCAGCTTGGCTTCTCCTCACCACATTTGACTCTTCGGATTCTGGTCGGCAGTCAGAGCTAAAGGACTCTTAAAGCGGCAGCAGATACTTACTTGCAGGTTTTGCACCCAGTTCGTGATTTGACTGCCCCTATACGGCGGCTCATCCCTGGAGTTCGAATCACACAGGGCTATGTCCAGGTGCTTAGGGGCTGGGTGTGATTACTAAGTTCGCACCTGTCCACGGGTTTACTCATGGGCTTTGACCGCCCTCATAAAGCGATCTCGACAGGAGCACATGTGAACGAGACTTAATTTGTATAGGTTGAGATATCGCGAAAAATGTTGAATATTGATGTTGTGATACGAGATATAAATTTCAAATTTATTTAGTACAACTCATTACTTTCCAAGTGAATCTCTGTAATTTCAAAATCATCTAAATAACGCGTTTTTTCGTAAATTAAACGTGATATATGAATCTAACTTAGTATCAAAAGCTTATCAATTGGAATATCAAAGTATTACCACAATGTAAGGGCTAGTCATAGGGCTTAAACATAGTGTAATGAATTCTTCAAAATGTTCGCGTTGTTTGGTGTTAATTGGGCTTAATGGGCCCCCATTATGGGCTAAGTGGGCCCTGGTCCGGGCTCAGAGCCCAGCCCATTTGCGGGTTGGGTTGGGTTGGGCTATGGGCTTTGTGGGCTTTGCGGAGGTCTAAGCTGCTGCGGCACATGGAACATTAACGGGGTTAAGCTCTCTCGATCGTACATGGCTAAAGGTTGAATCTGCGCGATAAACTGGAGTGGAGGAATTTATTGGTCATTGTTGATTCGAGCGAAGAGGCTTGGACATTCTAGGAGTTACGGCAGCCTATCTTCATTCCACAGAGGATTTCAACGGAATATCTGATGACGCTACTTTCAGAATACTTCATGGTATTTTTTTTCTTTTGAACAACCTAGACATAACAACACCGATAGGCAGCAGTGCTGAGACCGCTCAGGGAGTACTCCGACACTAACCAAAGTTTGCATAGCTGCATTTGGACTCTTGTAGGGGGCCGAAAGAGAATTACATAAATGGCTTTCCTTCGGAATCTGAACGGATTTCGCTCGAGACACTCATAAAATTCATATAGAAAGGCTCATCATCGAGCTTCGAACCCCCTTCCCGATGCCGATAGCCAGCGATATCGCCCTTGATATCTCCAAATTTCACCCGGGCAATGTCACGGAGTCAACAAAGAAAGCGGCAACTCTGCTGGAAAGCATCACCACCACTGGGCCCCGATGGTGGGAAGTAGATATCAAAAAGTACCGCGAGATGCGGGAGCTTGGTCAGACATCGCTGCCCAAGCCCGTCTATCTCGCAGGGGCTTTTGACGGCGCTGTGCCTTCGCGAGAAGCTGGCCGTGATATCCCCATCCGTATCTACAAGCCTGATCATGGCCAGCCTAGCAAAGGCGTCTTCCTCCACTTCCACGGCGGCGGTTTTGTGCTGGCAACGCACAAACAGTGAGATTATCCCTGTCTATCATTCTTCTACCGTGGCCTGTGTACTTATCGATGCCTGGACAGCTCCGATAGCACCCTCCGGGAATACGCCAACGCGTGCCAGCTAACGGCGATTTCAGTCGGATACCGTCTGGCCCCGGAGCATCCCTACCCAGCTGCTGTGCATGATGCCATTGATGTCGCCGAGTACATGGTGGACCATGCGGTGGAGGTATACGGTGCCCCCTTCTGCTTTATCGGTGGAGAATCAGCGGGGGCCTGTCTTGTTGCTCTGTCAGCCCTGCAGCTCATGCGGTCACGGCCGTCTCACAAATTGTTAGGTCTCGTCCTTCCTTATGGTTTGTTTGATCTGGGTCTCGGTCTTCCCGCGATGGCGGCTTCCACCAAGCCCCTCATGATAAACTTGGAAATCATGGAGAGGTTCAACAACGCATATGTGCCGGGCATGAGCACTGCCGAGCGCAAACGTCCTTGTGTGTCCCCGTTATACGAGGACCTCCGGGCACTTGTTGCGGCCCCTACTATTGGATCGTTACCTCCCGCTCTCTTCCTTTGCGGTACCGAGGATCCGTTGCTTGACGACACGATCCTGATGAGTTCTAAGTGGAGCATTGCTGGTGGCGAGGCTATCGTCAAGATCTACCCTGGCGCTACTCATGGTTTCACGGTGTTTCCCGGTCTGCCAGTGGCAGATGAGGCGCATGCGGTGACACTGGATTTCATGATGGAGAAATTGAGCGGGTCGGCGTGATCAATGATAATTCCAGATGTTGGCCAATCAGACAGCTGCCCAGCAGCAATGAAAGAGTAAAATCTCTTCCTATTTGCATGGTCAAAGTTATCAAAAGTTAATATAACCCTTATATGCTTGGTATAGCAACATAGATAGGCTGAGCTTGAGTGGCAATAGGGTTCAAAATCGAAGACGATATGAAAAAGACTGGTAAAAGAGTCACGCTGTTTGCTGATCGAGGTCGAACGATGTTTACCCCAGATCTACGCCGGTGAAGAAATCCGACACACCCAAGTGTGCCGTTTTCTGAAGGTCAGAAATGATCTCGGAGATCTTGGAAATTTCGTACTTCACTGTACTACGTTGTTAGACATCGGGAAATTCTTAAGAAGTCATAAGATTGAACATGCATAAATCGTCGCTCAGGATACAAAAGGCCAAACACCCAATCAACCGACAAGCAGGGTATATTGGCAGGACAAGAAGGTTCAAAGGAAAGAAGATGATCAAGGAATTCATTCCGACTGCGAGGTACATGACGAGTCCGATTCTAAGTCGGAGTCTTCATCGAGGACGATTCGTCGCATGACACTCTTGTCAAATAAGTCCAAGGCGAAACGTCGAGCTGGGAGTCTGTAATGATGACTCTCCAGAATGCATAGAGTCTTGCGGAAGAGATGAGTTTGGTGGAATCGCTCAGGTTGTTTGGATTTTATGCTGTCGTTAAGAATTAGTTCCGAGTAAATGTGACAAGTCGCGGAACAAAGCGGGAGGGCCTTACAGGTGAAGATCAGAAGCGGCTCGTTTGGAGAGCACGGTATTGCCCATATCAACGATCAATTTCAATATCCGTTGATTGCCAGGATCAGAGTCTGTGGTGGCTTCCTTGAGTTTCTCCTTTGGTGTTTGCTTTAATCTATGATCAAAGCCGGGGAAGGAAATCTAGATGGATGAGTACAACGAGGCGAAAGCCAGGGAACAGAGATACTCACCAAGAACAATTTCCGGAAATCGGTAGGGAGACAAAGCCCCAGTGAATCTCCCTTTTGGTCAACACCGGAATCCCAGCCCAACCCCCGCAGCACTTGAAGTCCGTGTCGACTGCGAGAGATCAAGCCTAAAACGAAGAAAGCAGTGCCTCGCATAGTGAGGACACCTGCACTGGTTGCTATTTGCACAATTCGTTGAATGATCTCAGCATCTAGGAATGGTGCACCAAGCTCCATTGAGCCGACATTACCGACAGCCCAGAGACATCCTTTAGCCTTGAGGAGCATTTCGTTGTCTTCTTCATCCAGCCTGAAATCGCGGATTGTCCAAGCAAATTCATTAAAGTGGCCAGAATGTTCTAGCAATTTACATCCCTCGGCAGTTCGTGCAAGTTCTCGGTAGAAATGCGGTGGTACCAATCCAATATCCTGGAGGTCCACCAGATCCTCGGGGATGAGGCTGCTACGTCGCGGTTGTTCAACGTAAGCTCGGGAAAGAGCAGCCTCAACAAGGGCAACATAGCTATCATTGCGACCAAGGAACCAGTCATCCATCTCTTGAGTGATATAATCGAGACCATCCAGATAGTGATATCCAACGGAAGTCGACAGGAACCGGAGCAGTAACGGTGCGCCGATTTCACCGAGATGGTCGAGGGAGGGTCGACATTTGACCACAAACTCGAGATAATCCCGTTGATTGCATGCCTCTTCGAGTATTTTGACGGCAACTTGGCAGACCGTGACCTCGGGATCGTACAATTGGGTGACAAGAAGTTTGACCACCCATTCTGCATTGCCAATCGCGACGTGAGGCGAAAGTGCGAAGTCTCCAACGGCATATTTGCGCAAGACTCTCGTTGCAAAGATCCGGATTTCCTTGGAACCAATTGTTAAGGCTTTGGAAAGCATGACCCGGAGGTGACTTTCGCGGCTGTAATCCATGTTTCCTAACAAAGTCTGAATGAGATCATTCCGGTCTCGCAGCTCAATAATATGATAGAACATGTTAAGCATATGCCATCGTTCCATCATGAGCAGCCCGTTGACATCGCCACTCAATGATCCTAGCATGGCAAAGTAGCCTCCACTTAGAGTAGTAGCCATCTGCTCTTTGGAGAAAAGTGGGGACGCAGACGTTAGCCCACTCATGCGGTCCAGCTGGGCCAGACATTCTGCAACCTGGCGAAGAAATTTATTCTCGGCCAAATACTTGGTGCCCTCGGGTGTCGTAACGAGAGTACGCATGAGAACACAGCCGGTTCGAACATATCGTTGATTTGCCTTTGTGTTTGGAACCATGGAGAAGCGATACTTGAACGGGCGGTAAAACCCAATGAGACGTTTCATGAACTTGGAGCCTTTGATTGCCTCGTCCATTCTCTTTGGATTTGTGAGAGGACCCTCCACGAGACGGTGAATAATGTCCCATTTCCACTTGTTGAAGTTGACGGTGTTCAGGACATGAGTCTCAAGGATGGCATTGCGGAACTGGGTCTCGTCCATGGAAGGGCTCATCTTGTCTTTCCCTTGCTCAACAGGAAGCAAAGAAGCCGATATGTCAGTCTCCATGTTGTATCGGCCCTGTCCGCTGGGATATCCACCAGAACGTGCCAATGTCCGGTTAATACTATCAATTTGGAAGATAGTTGCAGTTGAAAGATCATGATTTTCAGTTTCGAAGTCGATTGCGGGCGGGAGTAGGTGTGGAAGCACTTGAAGTTTTGCGCTGACGGCTTGGGGCAAGGAATGATGGGCGAGCTTGAGAACCTCTGTCAATAGCAGAGTTGCTTTACGTCTGAGAGAGAGATCCGCTTCGTCCTCAATGACGTCGGAGAGAACCTGGACTTTGGTCAGCGCTTGTGCTAAGCCATGCCTAGAAAAAAAAGGATGCATACCTTTGGGAGCCCTGCCTCAACCAAACCGGCCAATATGAGAGTAGAGAAATGAGCTGTCAGGTCAAATCTATTGCTATTAGTGTCACTGAAAGCGCGGCTAGCTCTTGTTTCGACATCAGAGCGAAGATTGGAGACTCTGCCATAAGTTGTGAGTCGTCTGCCTGCAAGGAAAGATGACGACCAGGAGGGAGGTTTAATTCGCAGAGCATCGAATAATAGCTCCATAATGAGATCTCGGGCGGTGGGATCATTGTACTGGAGGGAATCAAGGAGGGAACGCAAAGGCTGTGAGTCATGTCTTGCAAGAATAACTAGCCCGGGCCAAGTCTTGAGCATCGCAGAAATTGCCCGCGCTGCAGACTTTAATCGCCCATTGCGTAGTGTGTCAGATAATGAATCCGTGAAAGGGGTAAGAACAGCTTCAAGTTCAGATCCTTGGAGAAACTTTCGACTTCGTGGGGTGTCCACAACATGCAAAAAGCTTGATATCAAAGACTCTGAGGCGCCGAACGTCCCTTCTGCAAGCGCATCATGTAGGGCAGCAAATCCACCGGCAGAAGCAACCAGTTCGGGATCTTTGACTAAAATCTCAGCCAGAGTCATGATTGAGATGTTCCGAAGACGATCTTCATGATGCTCAGCAACAGCAACGATAGTCCGCACAACGGCGCGGGATATCTCTCGGACGCCATCTTTGACATCCAGGAAGCCTCTTACGAACTTCAATGCCTGTTCCCTCTCAATGCTTGCTTTGGTTTCTTTGACAAGGGACAATATCACGAGCTCATCGGTATGGAGTGTTCGGATAATTTGTAGAGATTTGCGGTCAGCAATAGCATAGCGCGTTAGTCGATAACCCGCAGCTACAACCTCTTTACTATCACTCAAAAGCATAACCTGAACCCGTAAGCCAAACACAGGCCAAGCGAGGTCATACTTCAATGTGGGATGCCGTTTAAACAATTCGACCAAGCTGTTCGCGCGCTCGACGTAGAAATCAGGAGACATGTCCTCTATCTCCAACGCCTGTAGTGTTTCCGAGAGGACATATGTAGGCGACTCCACGTCACCATCACCCCCTTCTTCCACGTCGCCGTTGACCGATCCGATGGCATCCTTGTTTCGAGATGGAGAGCGCATAGGGCTAGCTCGGAAGAGGCTCGAAAGGCGGCTGCTGCGAGGAGGAGTCGAGGCTGGCGCCTGCGCACGTAATATTTCTTCTTCCAACTCATGCTGCAATTCGACCAGCTTGCGGTTCGATGAGCTCAATTCTGACTCCACCTTGAGACGCTGCTCTTTGGTTTGCTTCGGTGGTTTTGATAGCAGCGCCTCCAGCATATTCTCGGTTCCGCTCTTGATCTTCAGTTCCTTTGCGATCCTGTCTCGGAGGAAAGCCTGCCGCGCCTCGGTTGTGTGAAAATCTTCCTCGCCGATCGATCGGCTGGCACGTCTGTTATACTGGCCGTCTGGTCGGGGCGTAACACTGCGTGAAGTCGAGCTTTTGAGCTCCGCACTAAAGCTACCTGGCCCACCAATGGAGGGTGCCAACGAGGGAGCTAATGAGGGCACCAATGATCCTCCTCGCCCGCCCATATTGCTACTGCCTCCAGACTCGGACCGCCTATTCCTCCCAATCCTTGTGATGCCGTCCTGCCAACTCCCATCGGCCGAGCCGCCATCCTGACTGAGCGAGGAGCGTCCATCACCCAGTGCACGATGCTGAGTCGACGCGGAGTATGCTGAGTTGTGCCCGGAAGCCATAGAGCTCCATCTAGCCTTGCTGGCTTCGCTATCATCTATCGCAGGTATTCTGAGTATCTGATGGCCGCATTGAGGTCGCTTGTTTAGCGGGAGGGTCGAGCGGAGCGGAGCAAGGGCAGTATGGGGAAGTGTGAGGGAGGGGCGCAGTCACTAGGTCGCTTGATGATCAAAGGAAGATAGTGGCCATGTCCACCTGTCAGAAGAGGGCGCCCAAATGTTAAATTGAACAACAGCAGTGATCGTATAACTGCTGTCCCGCAAGATACTCGACTCAACCACCTGGGCAGATCTCCAGGGTTAGAGAAACAACCCGCTGACTAAGAAATCTTATCACGCCAGAAGCTTTGCCACACCATGCAATGTGAAGAGCAATGTATTTCTACTCAAGGAATTTTTCTTATCTTCTTGAATACCCAAATGATATTTTTATTTATTTATCATGGAGCCTAAGATCATACATTCTGATAAAACTACTTGAGACCCTGCCCTTCCTTCCCAGTCTTGCTCAGACTAAGAGCATGTATTCACAAATTTCATACCGTTATCAGTTGATTAGTTATTGGAGGTAGTCTTCTCCAAAATGGTCTTCATCATTTCATTGCCGAGTGTGGCAGCTTCGGGGAAACGTGGTGCAAAGTATTCCGCAATTCGTTCAAACCGGTGACGGTAGGACTCGAAGTCACCAAAAGAAACACAGTCGGACCATGCCTGATGAAAGCATCATGTTAGCATGAACTAATGAATCTAACATGACCCGGAGCGGCGCTGGGATATTGTCCAAACATACCCTTGCAGCAAATGTGAATTCCAAATCATCCGAACGGAAAGTGTTGTCATCGATCGCGGTATCCAATGCCTCCTCAAGGAGATCCTCATTACGGAACAAGTATTCAGTCACACCCAACCAGAGACGGAAAAGCTGCAGCGTATTAATATAACCACAATTCGACAATGCCATCATCATGACTGGATACATACCGGCGTAGAACAGATCATATGATCATAAGGGACAATGCCGAGTTTCGACCAGCAGTCAACAATAGCAAGCAGACTGAGGTGGCTGTTTGGCGGCGCCTTTTCACGTGGCCGATTGGACAAAGAGAACCGATCCAAAACCTCATCCTTCAACAACAAATCTTGTCCCTCGGAGCCAGGTCGGAAAACTGACGCACCTGCAGCCTTCACTCGCTGCTTGAGCTCCTCTCTCTGTCCTCCGATCATCAATTTGTATAAGTCAGTGACCGACTCGGCGTACTGGCGAATCTGCTGTTTCGCTGCTGGGTTAAGGATGGCAAGCCCGGCATAAACATGCCATTTGTTCGAGTAAATGCGCAAGGTGATATTGATCTTGACATTCTCGATGCCGCCCACCCACCGTCCATGCTCCCAAGGAAACTGGTTATTGGCCTGCCAGGCGGTTCCCATACTGAGGAATGCAGCATGGGTGACAGCCTGCGTATCGGCGGTAATGCGGTCGTGCATCTCGCCGGTGAGATACACATGTTTGGAGCCGAATGAGGAGAGGATGCTCTCAACGAATTTGAGACTTTCGTCAGAGGCTCTATGTTGGATGAGAACCTAGATCACTGCGTTACTAATGCATGTCTGACGTAGTATAGGATCCATGTTTGAGTTCGGCCATACCAGCGGCTGGCCTTGCGTGTTCACTTTGGGCCCGTGTAGTGAATGGCAAGATATAATCTCTACATCGGGAGGCAGGTGTTTCTCAAATGCCGCGAGCTCCGGAGCTTTGCAAGACGTTTGACCACCGACGATGGCACCAACCTTGGTTGCTTGAATCCGAGTTAGAATATACTTGGGTTAGAAGCAGACTGGCGGCTGTTCGACACATACATAATCCATACTGCGCCACGACCTTGTCGATGACCCCAGCCTCTACACTGTACAGAATGTAATCGCTAATTCTTGAGACGAGATGTCCATTGGGAAATATGGTGACTCCTTTCTATATATACAATGAGCCTCTTGAGCTTTTGTGGCATAATCCCAGCCGGGGGACGTACTTGAGAAGCGAACTCTCGTTTTAAAGATTCAAAATTCTCAGGTCTATCACACGCGTTTATCCTTGATATCAAAGTTCGAAGTTAGTTATGCATATCTATGGGTTAATGATGCTGGAGGCTAGATGCGAATCTGTAAAATCTTTTCACTTGTTAGTGTATGTTTTCAAACGGCAAAATTGAAGATTCAGATTGACAGGTTGAACAGGATCAGACAAAAAAATTAAGGTAGCGTGGGTGTTACATCACCGACAGCCAGCTGGTTAGCCATCAACCAGAATGGTGTGACAGCGCCAGCCAAACCGTACTCGAGCCAAATGCACTCATGTCATCATTCGAGGGGATGGGCAAAGAAAGGAGGATGAGAGGTAGATAGCTTACCATTTCAAGCGGGCCTGTGTTGTCCGAAGAATGGGGGGCGGCCAGTTACCTCCATCCTGCATCGCTCAGGCGTTGGGCATACATTTTGCCCATATCGCCCATACCAATGATGCCGATTGATGCATCTTCTTTGGTGCGACCCATCGCGACAAGCGCGCCTGAAACTTCTGGGAAATAAGGTGTGGCCCTCAAAGCCGGTGACACTGATAACCACTGGATATTATTTGTAATCGTGTATTCCAAACTCGAATACCGCTGAAGCGTGAGAATATCGATTGTGATGTTGGAAGGAATTAGGTTGGGCGAACGAAAAATTTAAATACTGCACGGAGCTAATGATTCACCGCCTACCGGGCCGACCAGAATCCGGGTATAAAAACACGGCAGCTAAGGCCTGAGGCAGCCAGCTCGCTTGATATTGTGAGCCAATCATATTGCGTAATTCTCCCTAGGGCACACACCCACTTTTTTCTTCCACCTCCAGGTGGGATCGGGATCCGACTTTTTCTTCTTTTCTGTATTCCATCCACACTAACCACCAACAACAGTCGCAATGGCCCCCAAGACCAAGGCTCCCGCTGCCGCTAAGGAGAACGTCTCCCTCGGCCCTCTCGCCGGTGATGGTATGTTGGAACAAAATTCGAGTTAAAGAAGTTCAGAACATGAGATCTGACTATTTACACAGGCAAGCTCGTTTTCGGAGTTGCCCGCATCTTCGCCTCCTTCAACGATACCTTCGTTCACGTTACCGATCTTTCGTGAGTCGCCCTACACCCGCAATACTCTCGTATTCAAACCAGCCAATTGAAGTTGGAATCGATCGCAAAGGATGTTGGCTGACAAGTTGTTGATTACAGCGGTCGTGAAACCATCTGCCGTGTTACCGGTGGTATGAAGGTCAAGGCTGATCGTGACGAGTCCTCCCCCTACGCCGCCATGTTGGCCGCTCAGGACGTCGCTGTCCGCTGCAAGGAGCTCGGCATCAACGCCCTCCACATCAAGATCCGTGCCACTGGTGGTAACGGCACCAAGACCCCCGGTCCCGGTGCCCAGTCTGCCCTCCGTGCCCTTGCCCGCTCCGGCATGCGCATCGGTCGCATTGAGGATGTCACCCCCACTCCCTCCGACTCTACCCGTCGCAAGGGTGGTCGCCGTGGTCGTCGTCTGTGAGCGTATGCGGCTTGGTCTTTCCCTTCCTCTTGCAAGTCATTGCATGTCTGGATTGGAGGCTATTTGCAGGCTCCTCCTGCATCTGTGGATGGAATAAACGCGAGGAACGGCATTTATCGCCTGGTCTTCAATTTTTTTCATACGCTGAAAATGAACTCTCGGGTTCTGCTGTTGGATTAGGTAGTGCTAAATCAACAACTTGACCTATATATCTTAAACTGTAAGCTCCTGGTGAGCTCAATTGTAAGATATCAGTAGTCGCCACTTTGTAGCTTTGATCTGAGGCCCGGCGGGGAGCTTCTGCGGGAAGAGATGGCAGAAGCATAGTATGGCGGCTTGAGATCTTGGGATTTACATGCAGCTGTCTTGATTCTGTTCGTCCCCTTGTAGGCCTTCACCTTCATATTCATTACACACATTATCCCGCGAACTATCTACATACGAAGCTAAGAATCACCCTCGACTGCTCGGCCTCCGCTATTCGATTTGCCCACTTTATATCGAAAGATTGACCTTCTCTTTCTGCTCAACTAGCTCTACCTCATACCTTCTCTTCTCTATATTATCCTGCCCTATTAAAGGTTCCGGATTTACAAAGACTCTATGACGTTCTAAACCAGGCCTGGTTCATGAGAGAAAAAAACTCGCCTCCCGATAAAAGATAAAACGGCATTTATCCGACAGCTTAGCCCAAGCTACGCGATCGCTCCGAACATTTGATCTTTTAAAGCTCTAACTTGCGCGCAATCTTCCCCGAACCCCTCCGATTCGCATAAACAGGGCACAATGGCCACCCACCAGCCAACCCCGACAATACTCCTCCCGAAGCTTCCCCCGAAAACCCTAGTCGGCATCGACCTTATAACTTTTACATCAACCCCCAACTTCCATGGAATCCGCGATCTTTCGCCAGGATGGCACTTCCTTTACACCGGCGCAACGGAGACCCTCTCTCTCCGCAGTGGCGCATGGTTTTACATCGGTGACATCAGCACCGCGGGGAAAGGGAGCAACGACACAGCGCTCGTCGCGCAAGGCCGAAATAAAACCCAATCCCGAAATGTACAAGGGACTGAGATCTACATATGGAAATGGTGCGCAGATACAGAGTCCCTAGTAGCGCTGGACAGTGAAAGTGACTCTGCCCGCCAGGAGGGCATGCGCTACAAGGCGAATCTGGGTTCTGTGTGGCAGAGTGGAGGATTATTCAAGTATCGCAGCCGGATTGCCCCTTCACTGCTTGTCAAGCCCGTGACCGAATCAAAAACAGGGGAGAAGAATATGGAAGAACAAGACCAACCCGAACCCCAAATCGAAGCTCGTATTCAGACCGAAGATGATGCGCAGACCGAAGAGAGCGGCCGGAGGGATTGGTCTCGACTAACCGACCGGATCTCACCGAACCTTTTATCCCGCGTTATTGGGAATCCAGAGGTTGATATCGACGGTCATCCACGATGGGTGTTGTCATCTGCTTCCACGGCCAACCGTGATGCAGATCATATTCCCGGCGTTGACTCGCCAGCTGATGGATCGGTCGAGCCGGAGTTAAAGGAGGAAGCGGAACGCGAGTTCGAATTCATCCCAATTGACTTGAAGCGGACGTGGAGGGAAGGCGCGGTCGGGCGCGAACGGACTGAAGCTGCTCAGGATCGGTCTTGGGCTCTGGGAGACTTGATCGATCGGTATGCAGGGGAGGCTTCTGGGGGAACCAGTTGCTTGGCGAACTGCAGTTTACGTTCCTCATGGTATTGACTATGATGAACTACTCGTGTCTACAACAGTGGAAGCGGCTTCTTGAGCTTATTCTTACCTCTCGGAGGGCAATTGTGGATAGGGAGGATTTTATGACTGAAGTCCTTCGGATACTGTCGGTACAGCTGCAGCGATGCGACGATGTTGACGGGGGACTGTTTGAGATCGACGGTGATGAAGGCGGGGCTTTCTTGCGCGACCTACTCATAAAGTTCCGTCAGTCAGTTGATGACATTGCTGGCGAAATTGAATCCAAGGTCAAGTCAGAGCTTGACAAGCTTGAAGAGTGGGTGAAGGCAGAATATGACTGGGAGCTGCGTCGTGGGGCTGTCGTTCACCGCGGTATGCTCCAATTGGAGGACGGCGAGCAGGTCGAAATGGACTGGCACGGGGATGACGAAGAAGACGAGACTGGAGAGTATGCTCCAATGATTGTTGAGTGAAATGCGAGATTAGGACGTCGACTTTAGTTCTATTTGTACGCACTCATGAAATATGTAAAATACTCGATGAGTCTTTTTGATATCCATTTCTCAGGTACATTTACCAGCGTCTTGTTACACTCTACAAATATGTCTGTAGTCAAACGACAAGCATTGAATGAAATGTCCGGAATTCTTCATGAAAGGTCTAAAATCTATATACAGTCCAACCCTAGTATCAAAATAACCGACCGCGATGCTAAGCTTCACGAACACGTCCAAGGGCTCTCGGCCAAAATACCCGCGAGTCTAAATCTAAAATCTTCTATAAACGTTCTATCCATCTATTGTTCCTCGTTGTCGATGGTGTAAGCCCACTCATGCTCGACCTTACCGAACATGATGGCCTCGAGCCACGACTTGATCTGCGCGGCATATCCAGCAGGCTCGCCGTTCGCACCCAGTGTGCTGATATCGGTGTTCTCGTTGCGAATCATGGCAACCGGGGTAATGAAGTACTGGGATGTGATGTTAGCATATCAACTCCGGCAAAGAAACGAAAAATTCTCGAACTTACAGCGGTGCCTGAAACAAACGACTCAACAATGCGGCCCTCCTTCGAAGCCGTCTCAATTTCATCGATGGTCAAAGTGCGCTCCACAGCCTCGAGGGGCGCAAGCTTGCCGACAAAGTGCTCTGACAAACGCTCGCGCACGAGCTCAAGAACACTGCGACGGGTAACACCAGGCAGAATGAGCTGGTTGTCAAGAGGAGCAGTGACAAGCTCCAGCTTGCCTTCGGTATTGTGCCAGATAATGAAGAAGTTACTGGCGCCAGCCTCGGTGACCTGGCGGTCCTGTCCGAACAACCACAGGATCTGGTCGAAGCCCAGAGCCTGGGCCTTGCCGTGAGACTGTAGGGAAGGGCCGTAGTTTGCACCGAGCTTGGCATAACCGAAGCCGCCGGGCCAGGCGCGGATGCTATCGGGGTTGGAGGCGTAGAGCCTCAGACCCTTGCGGGGTTCAGCCTTGGGGTCCTTTGGCATTTTGGTGAAGTCGGGCCAGGGGACGGCAATAATGAAGAGGAGGGCTTCCTTGGGCACTTGGACGCCCAGGTGAGGACCGTTGCCGATGACGGTGGGACGAATGTAAAGGAAAGAACCGGGGTTGGGGAGCCAGCCTGGAGATATTTATTAGTAAAGAACGCCTATTTATATTATAGCAAAAGGTGCCTGGGGTTGTAGGGGTATTGGAACATACGAGGGCCATCGATCTGCAGTAGCTTGGCGACAAGCTTCTTCAGCTCATCGTATTTGAATCCAGGCAGAGAGGACCGCTGCGAGCTGGAGTTCAGACGCTCGCCGTTGCAATCGGGGCGGAACAGGCGCAGCTTGCCATCGTATCCGCGGTACACCTTCATGCCCTCGAAGCATTCTGTGGCATAGTGCAGGACGGAGGCTGTGGGGGGAATGCTGAGGTTCTGGTAGGGCTTGACTTCGGGGGTTTCCCAGCCCTTGGCTGCGGTCCATTTCACGGTGACCATGTGGTCAGTGCAGTGGGAATGGCTCAGCTCCTCTGGAGAGCCGGGCAAAGGCACATCGCGCGGGTTGGTTGTGCGAGTGATATTGAATTTGGAGCCATCCAGCTCGGCAACGTGAGGAGCGACAGAACCCATGTTGTAGTTGGTATCGAAGATCTTTCCTTAGATATGGGGTGGGGTGGGAGGAAGGAGAGGATCTATGAGTCACTAGACGGTCAATTGATGATTTTGGAAGGAAAAACCAGGAGGATGAACGTACCTTTTAAAAGAGATATTTCACAGAGAATTCCAATTGTACAAAAGCGGTTTGCTTCGGGGAATGCCCCTCTTAACCATCGACCCGGAAAAAAAAAAATCAAAGCCGAAAGACCCCCGGGGAAGTCGCCTCTCTCCATTTGCCACCGGAGAACATTCTGTTGCACATCGCTATATGTTGTACAACACGTTGAAGGGCGATTTCTTTGCCCCAATGAACCCCGATTCGAACTCGTGTCTACGAAGTACTATGGGCATCCTAGGGGTATTATGAACATCCTATGGGTCAAAATATTGGCTATCTTAGGTCCACTTTTAGCATCTCCGAGGCTAGCCGAGTTGATATCGATCTGATTTACTGTACTCCGTACTTATATCGCAATTGTAGTCCAAAATCGATGCAAAATGAGGTCGTCAGAATTCGCAAGATCTGATTTGTGTGACTGCAGTATCGAAAGTCTTGGCTCTTTAGCCTGCACAATCCTTGCATTCCTCACACCCCAAGCTTCGCTTTAGGTAATATGCTCCTTGAGGATCATATTACCCTATATTATCTTCTATAGAATAATATAAACAAATGTAAAGCAATCAACATCCTCGGGGCAATGATATCTTGTACCTCTGCACTAGAATGATGATTGACAGCGAAATAATATTTCCGGTTTGCATGAACATGAGGTCAGGCATCTCGAAACTCGAAACAACTATAGGGGGCGCTATCTAATGGATTTCACCAACAATGGCATACAGCTTACAAAGTTGAGTGGCACACCCGTGGACGGTATCAGGTAGCACATTGAACAGCATTTGGCCTTTCTATATATTATGTGCAACAGATCGTATACATCCAGTCCACAGTCTTCATCAACACCGACTTTGAGTTCTGATTTAATTTTGTTGTCCAATCTTATAACAATATATACTTGTATTATACACTCAACTTTGTCCGCCATAGCCACCGTACCTGCCAAGTTCAAGACCGGTCAAAACCTCCATACCTCCTAAGAGGGTAGGACAGGTATTCGTAGATTTCCCAAAATCACTCATTGGCCTACAGGCAAGTGAAATGTCCACGGAATACAGACCTTGTTACAAAGTCCCGGAAAAGCTCCGACTACGAACTCCGACCCGAGAGGGTTATGTTCTAACTTTGGTTGGACCGGAGAATATATCCGTGCGACCACTCATATTCAATGAAGCCAGCGGCAACCGGTCGGTTATGATCATGCACCTTCCGAGGTCGGAAATGAGATCTGGAATCAACTAGGTGGCAAACATAATGATATGCAAGTAAGTGTGCAAGATAAACTTCTTGAATAGTGCTGCCACCTTCATGTTCTAAAGCAAGTCGGGTAAACACCATGACCGTCGATTATTGGTATGCCGCACCGGTGTATTCTTAGGTTACTATGAAGGCAGAAGTCATCGAGGGGATCGCAAGACATACCTAGTTGGACGGTTGTATTGATAAGCTAGAAAATCTTGGTATGGAGCTAGCACTGATCGCCGAGGCTAAGGTGAGGGGTATGTCGAACCGAACCAATCCCTGTACGGTAACAATATAAAGTGCGGCCTTGTCTTAGATATGGAGCTACCTCTTGCTTAGATAGTCAAGTAGCATCTGTAGTGCGAGTAGGCTGCAACTTGTAGGCATGCAGGCTCTCAGTACGGTATGTAGAAATGTTCACGAGCATCATGAGTACTTAATCGTTGCTGCTTGTAGTGGATGAGCCTTTGATTTGGTATGTGACTCAATTTGGGATTTGAAATACAGAGACGTTATTTGGAAGAAGTCATAAAGTGCCGTTGATATTGACCGAGTAAACGACCGGGTCACAAGACATCCCAACAAGATCAAATGCAAATCGCCCCCGTACTTCTTTAGTTTATATTGTATGGATTGCGTAAAGTCACGATAGTGTTGAAATTGGTAATAAAGTCTTCTCCTTCTGCACGTGCAGGCATTTTAATCGAAAGACGGGAGAATGACCGGTCAGCTAACAATGCTTGGAAAAGCAGAGAAGGGATGAATATAGAACGAGTAGTATACGAAAGAAGATGAGAATGCGAGATGATCGAGGGGCAGACCTCTCCCTCGTTCTAAAACGTCTTCAGAAAGGCAGATGTCTATGGACCCTACGAAGAAAGAAAGACATCTGCCAGATCGAGGGGTCGGCAGTTATCACCCACCACGAGGTGTCCGTATACAATAAAGGATTAGATCGGCGTGATCTACAAATATCAAGGAAGGTACTGCCTTGATATACGATGACATATTTAAAGCCAATGGTGTGGAGTAACTAGTTAGATGCTGACATGTACGTATGCCGTAAGCAACGATTGGAGGTACCTATCCGATGATTGGATACAGAACTGACCAGGTCAAAAACAAGGAGTTTGGCATAGGAAGCAAGGCCAAGGATCGTAATAATCTGACGTATGTGATCAGCCGCAAACATATACAATGTTGTAGCGATAGTATCTAGCTGATATTCTCCCGAAAATCCAAGAAAAAGAGCAAACATGTATATTATGCTCTGTGTTCCAAGGTTGTACATAAATGACAGTCAGCAAGTGGAGTTATGCAATACCTAGCTTGGGAGATTGGAAAACCTTAGACAAAGATTGGGTTTTCCAAGATTAATTCCCATCTGCAATGCATTGACGGGCCGTGATTGAACGTAAAAGGGAACTTTAAATTATCAAAAAAGACATTCAAAGTCGAAGATTTCCTTAGATTGTATAAAACTTTGAGATTGGTACACCGCAATCAGAATTTAATTGTACTATATTGTACGCAATATAGCAAATTCAAATTCTGGAAACTGTCAAGTACAAAAATCATGAAACCAAAAGCGGGGGCCAAGATGGGCGACCGCCAACGGTGAACACATCCGACCAACTAAAGACATCTGGCTATTTTATCCGACTTGATATTGAACCTTATACGGAGTACATCGAATATACATGCTCGGTCTACGGAGTACTTACGCATATCGAGGTATGGAGGGATCAGATCCACTCAAATCTAGATCAACACATGCAAATTTGAAAATAGTCTAGACTAGATTATTGAAATCTAAAAAAGCATGACAGCTCTATAGGATAACCGCGTTATTGTCATCGCGCTAAGTCCCCTTTTGGTAGGAGTCTACTTCTAGTAAGGCGAGAGGGCTTCCACCACACATGCAGGTGATAGCGATTGGTTTCCCGTGACCCATTTTACATTGCAGACTCTTTACCACGTCCACATGTACTGTACTTTGGCTGCAGGGATTTCTGGAGGCTTGCTGAAAAGGGCCTAAGACACGGGAAAGAAAAAAGAGGGGATTTCAGCCGCATAATTGATTTCACTGGCTACCGACCCCGGCATCTAAACATGCCTGGCTACATCACTGGAACTTAGTGTGGGGGCGAAGTACACATACATACTTTCTAACAGCCTTAAGCGATAGGATATCAAGGAAGGAAATCGAAGATCCGGCTTTACGTTCTTGAAATTCAGTATAACGGGCGCGCAAGCGGCACTACGCGACGCTAGCATGTATAGTTCATCTAGGCCAAGAGCTCTAAAAGTTTGCTTCCAATTTTGTTACGGAGTACATTTTTTCTCTCTCTTTTTTTTGTCTGAAACAAGCACTCTTCTCCGCGGAAGCCACTAGGACTAGTCAAAATACTTGGAACAGCCTGGAGATACGCGTGGACAACGCCGGACCAATATACTTATTGGGAGAGGTCCTGTTGGGAAAAATTATTCCACGGCATATCAGTAGTGGGGTACACACAGATCCGATTCAACCGAAAGGAGTACAATACACGGAATACTTTGTAGATATTTGAACCTTGAAATATCGCCCAAATGTGGCCTAACGTAGCTGAGATCTCCCCAACTGCAGTGTCGCCAGAATGCAAATCAGGCTTGATATTCAGAGTAACTGGCAGAATGCCAAGAAAGAAATGTATCATCTCTAGCGATTCCGATTGGTTGTTGTTTTAACTGCCCAGTAGAAAAAACAGTTGGAAGATGTTATGTGGATTTATCAAGTAAAAAGGGACCAATGGAGTTTGTGAGAGAGACTGGCGAATCATTGGGATCGGATCATTCAAGAATCCCAGAAATATCGAGATAGCAAATTATAATTCAAGTTTAGTACTGGAAGGATCGATAGATCTGGTTATGATGTGGAGGTTCAAGATGTGTTCAAGATGTGCCTTCTTCCCCTGCAAATCCCGATTCGATCCACAGCATCCACAGCGGAAAAGACTTTGGGACGGGACAAGGTTCCAAGGTGGTACGTGAATCCTGCGTATGGAGAACATTCGATGTTGGATATATATATGTTGTAGTTCAGGTTTAGAACCTTGGAGGTCCATCAAGTGTTCGGTGTCACAACATGTACTTCGTAGCAGCACATCTAGTCCCATCGACCGGTGTACTAGAATTTCTGACCCCTTTTGGAACGAACCCTGTTGTATGGATCATTCTTCCAGGCCGGCAAGGTTGAAATCCAGATTCCATTCCGGAGCGAAGGAGGGTTATTGAAGTGATATTCTCCACTTTCCAGAATACACATTGACATGGGCTTCCTTGAATTATGTCGTTTCAGCTTCATGGAGAAAAGTCAATGTGGCCAACGTGGAGGTTGTGGAGTTCGGGATATGTGATTGACATATGAGTTTCCCATACAAGGCGACAATCTCTCCGTACAATCTCTCCCTAGACCAGGAGTATCAAGTTTAAAGCATATTAAGTCTTTTTTTTTTCTTTGCCAGAGAGAGTCAGAACAGAAGTAGAATGCAATGATAACATTGAAAGTAGAAAGAATCGATTTCTAGTAAGAAGGCACAAGGTGACAACGTATCAAACCCCATATTGGCGGATAAAATCTCTTTTGGTACTGGTACATCCCTTTAGTATGATTTCTTTTCCTTTCTTTTTCTTTTCTTTTTGTTTTCTTCTTCCTTTTTTCCTATTCGCGCGTTATATCTTATTTTATTTATTTTATTTTTTTAGTTGTTTCGTGCTTTAGTTCAAGCTGGTAGGGTTTCCGTATGCGGTCCTCGATCTCCTCGGATCTCGCATTAACAGTCTCAGGTCTTGACTGGATGGTCCTTTCGCTATCTGCATATTATCAGTCAATATTGGCTAATTGCTGAATTTGATAGCTCCCCAATCACTGAATTCAAGCTTGGCCTACCGGGTTACCCCGGTTGTGTGACGGCGTTGAAATTCCCCTTCTGTTTGCCCACGCCCCCTCGCTTTTTGAGGTCCTGTCACCTGCAGGTGGACTTTGATCACTTCAACCGATTCCAGAATAGTTTCTTTTAGTTGTGTGCCACCTTTACGCGTAAATAACGCACCGCACCGTGACGCCCGCATCATTGCGACATGACACTTACCCCCTTTCTGACATCAAGCTGGTGAGACGTTGGAGACGTCAATTTCAATGGCCCATAAGAAGAAACCTTAAGACCGTGGTTCAGTGCTGTATAGAACATCATTTGGCTGCACTGGTTGCAAAGTCAGTCACCACCAAGCGCTGCCTCAACAGATTTGCATTGTTGTCAAAGCTTCAATCCCGGTATATTTTGGTCAGATTATCCCGGGAAACAACTTCTTGGAACTTACACATCTCCACAAAACTTATTATACAAAAATGAAGATGAGCCACCACGAGGGCTCGAAGCAATTTGCAGCGTTGGCTCCCGGACCGCCGCGCATGTTCGCTCCGCAGACGTCAACTGCTGTCAGTAGGCCAAAAAAAATTCTACAGCCTGCCTGGCATGCAAAGCAGCTAAGAGGAAGGTGAGTCGGGGCAATCAGTTGATCCATTTTCCCCCCTTCCTCCCTCTCCCTCTCTCGCTCTCTCTGCTTTGTCCTAAATTTGGAAAAAAACCTCAACCATGAAGACCCCGACTAATCTTTTCGTTTTGCTCAATATAGTGTTCTGGACCAGATGCTCCATGCAAAGCTTGTCGATCCGCCAACACTGAATGCCACTTCGATCCAAGTCGAGACCTCAGACGAAAGGTTGCCGTCAAGCGGACGATCCAGGAGCTCACAAATCATAAAGATCTACTAGAGTCTTTGTTAAGCACCCTGAGATCTGCTGATCAACCCCAATTTGACAAAGTGATGGATTTGATTCGGAACAAGGCTTCATTCCAGGATATCGCTCATGCCGTCGGAAGCCCCGCCACGACGTTCGGTGACCCCCAAGAATTGTCAAATGCCAGCAGATTGGCAATTTTGGAGTACGGGGAGCATCCCATAGAAGCCTCAGGCAATGGAGTGAGGCGGTCGTCGGACCCTAGCACGATAGCAAGCTCACCAGAAGAGATTTCGAACATGAAAGCCCCACAATGGCCAGCAGTCAGCCCTTATGCTCGTGTCACACTGGAGAGGCTCTGCGACATACCTCTCTTTGAGGTGCCGGCAAAGCCGTGGACGAAAGTCACAGATGATGATTACCTGGTCTCGCACTTGGTCTCGCTCTACTTTACCTGGGACCATCCATGCTCGCAATTCCTTGATCAACGTATCTTCCTCGAACATATGAAACGCGGCGATCAGACATCCGAGTTCTGCACGCCGCTTCTCGTAAATAGCCTATTGTCAATGGCCAGCGTATGAGTCCCGCAAATACCTCGGTCCCTGCTGCACCTCCATGAGCTAACACCGATAGGCCTACTCTGATAGCCCTGATGTACTTTCCACACCCGAGAACGTGTTTTCGCGGGGTCAGAACTTCTTCCGTGAGGCACAAAGATTGTGGGAAGTCGAAGACGATGAGCACGACCTGCCTAATATCCAAGCTCTCCTCGTGATGTGTTGTGTGTACGTTGTCCACTGGTTTGTAGCAAATAAATCACGCCCAGGAGATTGACAGCTTGCAGATTTAAATGCCAAGGACGAGTCAGGAAAAGCTGGATGATGCTTAATCAAGCTGTTCAGCTGGCACGGGATATAGGACTCTTTGATACTCCAGCAGTGTTTAAAAACAAGGTGTCGCCAGAGATAGAACGGGTGCGCTCGATCACTGCCTGGGGTGTCTTCAATATGAGCTTGTAAGCACGGCCCTTTCTCGCAGAAATGAGCAGTGTCTAACCAATTGAGGCAGACAAATGTCGACTGAGCTGCAGAAAATTGTCCCTTTGCCATACCCCACATCCGATGTTAAACTATGTGGCAGTGAGGACTTTGACTGGACCCCGTATCCTCGCTCAAACAAAATCACATATGACAAAAAGCCAGCCCGATTCCCGGAAATTAGGCAGGGAATGGCTGGGATCACCAGAATCTTAGTCGATGTTCAAAGGCTCATTTCTGAAAGAAACCGAGGCACCAGCCTTGATGAGTTGTGGAGAAAAGCCGAAGAACCATTTGATCGTTTGGATGCCTGGCTGCAACACTGGCCGAGCGTGCCCGAGATACAACAGAATCCGGTCCCACAAGTTCTTCTCCTGCGGTAAGCATGACTGCCTTTCTATTGCGTGCACCCCGATGATTGGTTCTGTGCTGATACTGCGGACAGAATTAAATGTCTCCAGGCCGTCATAAATCTGATTGAGATTTTGAATCACCCCCATCAGCCGCATTCCGTGCTACAGGCCCAATTTTATCAGGTAAAGGCGGCTGAGGAAACTGCGCAATGTCTTCGCATCCATCATCAGTCGTATGGCCTGGAGCATATACCCAGTCAGGTAGTTGATGCCGTACAAACAGGTCTTCGGATCTTGGTTCATCGGTTGGAAGAGAGTGATGAATCAAAACAGGCATTTACTGAACTCTGTCGGTTTGGAACGGCTCTTAGTCACAGGTTTAAGCAAACAGCCGAGGTGATTCATGAGATCAGGAAAAAAGCGCTGCACCTAAATCTCCGGTTACCACCTGAGGCTGTTGCAATCTTCGATAATCCGGAACAGTGGAGGAGTCTTGGGCCCTGAAACTCAACATTTAGCCTGTGGTTGTGGCCATTTCCATGCTGCTGCCTCATGAATGGTATTGCAGAAGACTTCATCTTGCTGCAGACTGGGATGAAAAATGCGGAGTGGATATACCACGACGGCAGGACTGGAACGAGGGTGTTGAGGAAAAAGCTGCAATACCCTAGAAACCTGTCGCAGCAGAGTAAACATTGATACTGGCCTATCTAAATCTTCAGTGATGGCCAATGCATGCTCTGCCCTCCTGGAACTCGGGTCAGAGAGGAGGGAGTGTAGTATCACCGCCTGTGGGTTATAGCGAGAAAAAAAGGAGATTCAAGGGGCAACGTGGACTGAGGGGAAGGGCAGGGGTTGCCACCTGCACCTAGAAAAGTGGTAGCCGATGACAAGCGGACAGTTGATGGCCTCTGGTCCACCGGAAGACTTTTCCCCTACATGTATCACACCTGTCTAGTGAATGAAACTACACACTCAAGAAATATTGTTGCTCTCTAGTACTAGTACTGAACCTGCCGGCGTTCCTCTAGAAAGTAGAAAAAGGTGGACGGAGCTGAAATATGCTGATAATGTGCTAATATCAATCTTATGCTGTCTGCTGTGACACCGTTGATCTCTATACGCCTGTGTGTTGGGCTTTCATATTTGGAATTTCCAAACATTGTTGTCCAGATGGGAATAAGTAGATACACCCACGTAGGTAGTTCAAGTTGCTACTCATACTGTATCGAGTCAGCTTTTCAACAAGCGATCAAAACAGAGATAATATACACGATCACTTTTTTATATCACGACACGCAACGGCCAAAAAGAAGTCAACGAGCCTAAGTCCGTTTGGAATATCTAGAGTTCCTTCCATCAGCATGCTGTAAAGTTCAATGATCATAACTACTTCCTTCTACATATGAGGTTTCTAATTTCATAGTGCTTACGTATCTATATTGGTAGTTGCGAAGCTATAGTGTTGGTTTTGAGATTATGTTCGAAGTGAAGTGAGGGAGCCAGTACAAGAATTGTCAGCCAATATAGGTGACAGCCCCGGTGCCCTGTACTTATATCGTCCTGAGTGTACGATGCACAAAATCCACATAGCTTAGTCATGTGAGATACTTATGCGCAGATAAGATAAGCACAAACACCCAAGCGAAAACCCTCAAAATTCGACTTCTTAAGCAAATCGCACACGCCGACGCTATCCCACCCCCTCCCCACCTCGCCCCTTCCGCTCCCTCACTGCCGTTTCATCTCGGCATCTTGCTGCATTTTCGAATCTTTTCTTTCTCCCCTCCCACTCAACATGTCCTACGAAGACCGCGCCAATGCGCGCCCCAACTTGAACGATGAGTCCGATAATGAAGAGGAGGCTATGGTCAACGACTACCACGAGCAGGTCAACTACGACGATGGAATGAGCGAGCTAGACCATACTACATCCCATGGCGCCGGGCAGGCCCAAGACCTTCAGGCTCAGCTGGCCGCCGCCGCCACCCCGCTGGAATACCAGGCTACTCTCGAGACCAAATTCGCTAGCTACGACAACTACTGCAGTCTCTTCCACTACATCCTGAACTCCGATGGCCCCGTGGACTTGGAGGTTCCTAACGTAGGTGTTTAGTTTCGCCGACCGGTTGTTGAACGCCATGAATGAAAAAGAAAAGCTTGGCATTCGTGAAATCAACAAGTCGATCCATCCCTCAAAAGCCAGTACAAAAAAAAACTAACGATTATTTTCTCTACAGTACTACTGGGCTTGGGAAGTTATCGACGAGTTCATTTACCAATTTGAATCTTTCTGCCGTTACCGCAACCGCGTTGCTCGCACTGGATCCAACGAGGAAGAGAGCCAATTGCTCCGCGAGAACCCGAACACATGGGGCTGCTACTCAGTGCTGAACGTGCTCTATTCTCTGATCCAGCGCTCGCAGATCAGCGAGCAATTGAACGCTACTAAGCGGGGAGAGGACCCAATGGCTGTCGCCGGCGAGTACGGTTCGCGCCCCTTGTACAAGATGCTCGGCTACTTCTCGATCATCGGACTGCTCCGCGTGCACTGTCTGCTCGGTGACTTCAGTCTTGCCCTGAAGATCCTCGACGATGTCGAGATGAACAAGAAGGCTATGTTTGCCCGCGTGATGGCCGCCCACTTCACCACCTACTACTACGTGGGCTTCTCCTACATGATGATGCGCCGTTACGGTGATGCCATCCGCATGTTCAGCCACATCCTCGTGTATGTGTCCCGGACAAAGAACTTCCAGAAGGGAGGCAACAACTACGAGGCCATCGCCAAGAAGAACGACCAGATGTACGCCCTGATCGCCATCTGTGTCGCTCTCCACCCTACCCGTCTGGATGATACCATCCACTCGGCCGTCCGCGAGAAGTACGGCGAGCAGTTCTACCGCATGCAGAAGGGTGGCCCCGAGGCCCTGCCCGTCTTCGAGGAGCTCTTCCGCTCTTCCTGCCCTAAGTTCATCAACCCCACTCCTCCCGACTTCGACAACCCAGCCTCCAACGTTGACCCCGTCGACCACCACACCGCCATCTTCATGGACGAGGTCAAGAACACTCTGTTCAACCCCACCATCCGCTCTTACCTCAAGCTCTACACTACCATGGACCTCAAGAAACTTGCAGGTTTCCTCGAGGTGTCCCCTGAGCAGCTCCGCTCGTGGTTGCTCGTTAACAAGCAGCGCAGCCGCCAGATCCGCTGGGTCGACGGTGGCCTCCTGGATGGCGAACCTGCTATCGCCAACGATCTCGACTACGCTCTTGAGGACGATCTGATCCACGTCAGCGAGACCAAGGCCGGCCGCCGTCTGGTCGACTGGTACCTGCGTAACCTTGCTCGCGTCTACTAAGCGAGCCTGTGTCTCACAAGTGTGCCGAGAGTTGAAAAGAAAAAAAAAGCGAAGAGTGGTGGGAACCTTCTGCTTACAAGAAGAGGAACGGACATGACTTGAGATGAATTTTCTTTCTTTTTCTCTGCCTACTTTGTTTGTTATTCTCCATATTATACTCATTGCTCCCCCCCTTTCCCCCTCACGTTTCTTGTTTCTGTGTCTTGTTTTCCATTTTTTATTTTTCGAGTGTTGCCCGTCCGTGGATTATGGAAGTTCAAGGCTTCCTGGTCCGTTCAAAATCAAGTTCAAGTTGGATTATCGCGATTTATTTGGTGGGCGTCCGCTATTTTATGTGTCTCCTGGTTTGCTGTCGCTGCTTATATTAAGGCAGATGGTTGACGCAGCATGGAGAGTATTTGTGTCAGGTAGAAGAAAATCAGTTACTTGATGAAAGCATTAGATCAACGAGAAATACTCTACATGTTTCAATTCTTCCACGGGCACCGTGTTCAAACAAGATTTGGAGTTGGTCTGAATTAAGGTGAATGAAAGAAACCCTGAAAACTTTGAATTTCAAGGGTGAAAATATTTGGATTAATAGGTGTCGGCCGCATGCCAAAGTTTTCCATCTACATGTACAAGTACATCCCTCTCTTAGTTGGATTATAACAATAGTAGCTCGCCTGTGGCAGCTCCACCAGCCAGTTGTGGCTGATAAACCTGCTGCTGATTTTGGGTCACAACGTACTGTGTCTGAGGCGCACCTCCACCACCAGTACCATCAAGATCCAGCGAAGCCATTTGCTGGGAGCCGATACCACTGAAGTAAGCGTCTGCTGCATCTGCTGCCTCGTTCATGTTTCTGGGGCCTGTAGTTGCGGAGTCGACGCCCGGGCCGACAGGAAGAGAAGGCGGAGGCCCGGTGTAGATTGGCGTGACGGGCTCACCTGTGGTGATGATTGTGGCTAGACCGCTATTACTCGTTGAGGTAGCGGCCATGCTTGCGGATGGAGGGTTGTATTCGAGCATGTTTCCTGTGCCATTGTCGATAGGAGCACGTTGCAAGGCTGGGCTGGGCAGGAGACGCCGGGGACGGGCAGCGCGGAAGACTTGGTGGATAGGTTTGAGGTAGACGGTGGCTAGCGTGCCGACGTTCAGACACAGTTCCTCGAGAGTGCGTGGGTCTAGCTTTTCGCTCTCGGCCGTGATTGGGGGTTTTTGGCCCATGACCACCTGCTTGGCGGTTGCCGGGTCTGTCGATAGCAAGCGCCAGTACATGTAGCCACGGTCACGAAGATCAGGGTCATCTGTTTCTTCGGTGCACCATTTCAGAACCTGTGGGACGAGCTTCTGACCCCTGGTGGGGCGTTGGATGAAAAGTTTGACGGTAGCCGTGAGCAGGGCCAGCTGCACTTCGACCGTTTCGTCATGGAATGTGGCCAAGTAATCCTGAAGAAGGCCATCTGAGTTATCGATGCGGTCCGCATACTGTCCAATAATCCAAATGACGGCCGCCTTGGCTTCGGGCTCGTCCAGATCGTCGATGTTTCGGATGACATGACTGATTATACTCTCGTATTGATTGGGGTATTTGCGGAAGATGTTGCGGATGACCACTGTTGCCTCTTGGACAATGTATGGGATCTTGGCATCGACCAGCTCTAAGAGCGTGTCAATACACTGCTTTGCAGCAGATTCAATCTTGATTGCTAATTTGCCGATGGCCCGGACGGCCTTGCGCACAAAGTGAACGTCAATTTCAGTGGCATATCTGCAAAGTGTCAGTATTCATTTAATACAGCCAATGTGAGAAGTTCTTACTCGCGGAGCTCTGCAAGCACGATGGAAATGTTCTCTTTTGTGGTTAGCATGAACATTAATTCCAGCTTGGTGACTTTGACATAAATTGGGTCGTTGTAATTGCAGAAGAATACTCTGATGTCATTCCGCAAGACCTCTGGTCTCTTCTGAATAATTAAGATGGCATTGCGAAGTGCCAGATATTGAACCTCAGGAGGCTTGGAAAGCAATGTGACGAGCGGTGGAGATAACTTCTTGCATAATGAGGTGATATGCTTTTCACCGGCAATGTAGTTCATGAGATAAAGGATGACACGGGTTGAGGTCAGGACGACGGCGGAATTTGAATGTGATAGTCGCGGAGCAACTCGCTCTGCCAACAGAAGCGCCTCCGCGGAATCCTGTGGCACATATGACATTAATGCCTCGAGAATGTAAGTTTGACCCCATCTGTTTGAACGGTTAGTACAATGTCCCTAGGTATAGAACCAGATATTCTTACTCGGAACAGTCGGCCAGAATTGAAACCAATTTCGAGGCACTGACATAGTCAATGGTGAGTGAAATTGATTCACTGCGGCCCCAGATATCCACCAGCGAAGCTAAGACACTAGAAACTACAGTCGGGTTCTCATCCTTCAACATACGGTTGAGTCTGTCGATCAGATCTGAGTTCTCAACCATCTTCTTATCATGTTCATAGAGCTTTGCGACGCAGAAAGCAGCCGTCTTGCGGACATATGGGTCATTGTCTTGCATCAGGCGCTTGACGGGTTGGAAGGTCGCTTCGACGAATTCGCGAACATGCACATATGAGATGGTTCGTAGTGCAAGGGCACGCACAAGGGGGTTATTATCTGTCATATCCTATAAAGAAAAGTCAGACCTCGACGAATCTTCTTTCGTAAGAGCGGATCCATACATCAACCAATATAGGGAGCGCCTTCAATGCGACCTCTGGTTTCATTCTCGAGTAGTTGACCAAGAACAAGAAGCACCTAGATATCGTATTAGCAAAGTCCGCTCTACTCCACATGACACACCATAAGCATCATTATTGAGTAGAGGGGCTGGACATACATCTTCTTGATCTCCAAGCTTGGCAGATTCATACAACCAATAACATCCGGAAATAGCGCAACCATGTCGTTGTTGCTCATGGTCATATTGGCGACGATTTTCTTAAGCGCGATCTTTTTGGCGGAATAGTTCTTATCCTTCTTGCCGCCGCTATTGAGCTCTTGCCGCAGCTCTGCAACCTTCCCCTGTGTATTTCGCGAGCGTGAGCCATGGAATGCAGGATAAGGAGTGATAGCAATAAACATGAGGGCCGGTATGATATCAGGTATGATATGGTAACTCAGAAAGGTGTAGGAGCAAAGCAAGTGGCTTATGCCGAATGCAAGGGAAGCAAGAAGCAAAAGGCCCGAGTACAAAGCTCACCAAAGCGAGGGAAACTAAATGTATGGAAGTAGAATGCGGGGAAGGGGGGTAGGGCCAGTATGCGAAGTGAAAGAGATCATGCGATTAAAGAGTAGGCTGGGCAAGCTAACGTACCCTGGCGAATAACTTCGCATCTCCTCCAGAACTCATGGCTGCGGTATGGACGAATAGCGATTAGGCACTGGTAGGCGCGATTTCTTGGAATGCGAACGTCGGCGAGCTTTCGTATCTGATGACCGTGCGATCAATCACAGACGAGATTGGCCGGAGGATCGTCAATAATAAGGTCAAAGTAAAAAAAAACGCGAGATCGTGTTCAAAGGGTCCGGGCCGTCGGGGGAGTTTGAGAGAGGAAAAGGGTGAGACCGAGAACGTGTTCACCTGTGGCGCATTCGGGAGACTCGGAAACAAATCAAATCAGGGATTGGACATTCTCCTTTTGTCAAACAGATCGAAATTAGAAGATTTAAATGAAATTGGAAATCAAGAGAGAGAGAGAGAGAGAGAGAAAGGAGAATTGGAAGGCGGAGTAGCCACAGTGCGGAGGGAACCTCCCTACCCAGCAACTTTCCTTCTCCATTTGTTTCTCTAAGACCATCCTCCCCCCCAACATCACATCTACTATCTTGATCATGTCACAAGCTCCTCTACCACCACCTCCTCCTCCACAATGGGTTATTGCAATGAACTCCCCCATGCCGCGCCCCTCAAAGGCCGCATCCAGCATTCCGGACCCGCCAGGCTTCTCGAGTAGTCGGGGAGGCAAGCAGGTAACTTCCACCGCAAATCATAATGCCGTGCGAATATACTGATGCGGTGCTTTTTAGCGTCAACAGCAACAGCAGCAGCAGTCTACCACGAAGAAACCTGATGAGACCGACGCGCTTAAGATGAAGAAGGCGTGGGAGATCGCTATCGCCCCGTCCAAACAGATCCCAATGAATGCCATTATGATGTACATGTCCGGCAACAGCCTCCAAATTTTCAGCATCATGATGGTCCTCATGTTGTTCAAGGGTCCTATCCAGGGTCTGATCAATACCAATGCGGCGTTCGCCAAGTACGAAACTCCTTCCACACATTCGCGTATGCTTGGAGTGAAGGTGGTCTACATGTTGATGCAGCTGGTATTACTGGGGTTGGGTATCTGGAAGGTCAATGCGATGGGACTGTTGCCGTAAGTCTTGCTCTATAGCTTTGACGGCGCTCATTTTGCTAATATATATTCAGAACTACGAGATCGGATTGGCTAGCATGGGAGTCGGAACGACAACCTTTGGAGCGGGCTCATTTTGCTTTCAGGTAATATGATAATCTTGGAGTACGGGTTGAAAGATGAAAAGAGACTGTTGGAAATGCGTCAGTGGATAATAATGCAATTTGGAACAACAGCTTATCATGGCAGTGATCATGCTGGTCCTTTGCCTTCTTGTATTATTGAACAGTTCTATAATAATGCATCCCTTGGGCGCAAGTTTCTCAAGGGGTATCGACAGGAAAAATGTAGTTCATGATCATCGAGCTGTCATTTCGGTATCATTCTCGTTCCTAGGGTTCTTAGCTTCCTCTTTCAGACGACGCTCTTCGCGCCAACCCGGCCCCTTTCGAATCACAATCAAAAGCAGCGGTGTTGTGGCGATCATCACTAACGCGATGAATGTGAAACACCACCCCCGACCCATAGTAGAAAGCATAGGATCGATGAGTGCCGTTGCGCCGGCTCCCAGTAAGCAACGCCCGAAATTATTGGCAGCAGTGGCCTTGGCCGCTTGTGTTGGATAGAGGTCTACCAGGAGTGTGCTGATGGTATTGAATGCTCCTGTCAAGGTCAATCCCATGAGAAACAGAATACATGTTGGCGCAGCGAGATGAATCCCATAGTTCAAGAACCATCCAAACACAAGGACGGAGATGCTTCCTAAGATGAGAAGAGGGAATGCTAGCTGAAGACGAGCTTTCTCAATAGGAAAGTTCCGCAAGTCAGTTTCGCGGTTCTTGGTTAGTGGGAAATTCAACTGCTTTGCGAGTCGGCGATAATTGAAGTCCAGGAACTTGCCGTTGACAATGGAGGCGATGGTCGCACCGAGGCCAAACGGAATATAACAGAGACCGACCTGGAGGTCGTCTAGCCCGTAGAGATCATTGAAGATAGAAGGAATGCTGGCGCTCACGTCGTAGAAACCAGCAAAAAGAATAGCATTGCAGAAGAGGATTAGACTGGTATCCTTCTGGAATACAATCGCCAGCGTCTGGAAAGGATTGGGGAACGTGAGTTTTTGCTTGGATGTAATCGCCGTAGATATGGCACCTTCCTCGCGAGCCTTCCGGGACTCTAGATAGCTGATCAGGGACATATTCCATTTTTGAGGAGGCAGTGAGCCATTGCCGACAATCCCACGAGCAGTTTCCGGGAAGAAAACTAGAAACGGAACCATGAAAGCCGCTGCAAAAATGGTCAGAAACCAGAAGATTGCCCGCCAGCCCAAGTATTGAGACAATAGACCTCCAATTACTGGTCCGACTGAGGGGCCCATGAGAGACCCTGCTGTGACGAATCCTATATAGGAACCTCGTTGCGATGCAGTGGCTACATCGGAGACCACTCCCGATGAGAGGGCAATGGTGGTGCTGCTTCCTGCACTTTGCAAGCATCGGAGAACAAAAAGAGCTGCATAATTGTTTTGTAGGGCAAGTCCGATATTAGCTGCAATGTAGATGGTGAAGCACAAGATATATGCTGGTCGTCGGCCAGCTTTGTCCGCAAAGTCACCAATAAACATGGGCGACAGTCCTTGGAAAATCTATATTCTTGTTAACCCGGTCCTAGAACAAAAATTTGCCATATACACGTAGAATGCCTTACCATATAACTTGTCAAAGTCAGATTGATCAATGAATTTGATACATGCAGATCCTTCGCCAAGGTATTCAATGCAGGGAAGTAGATCTGAGAAGAGACAGGCGAAAAGAAACCAGCCCAAGAGGCCATAAAAACAATATATCTGCGCTGACCGACCGTGAAGACTGAGTAGTCAACATCAGCAGGATCTCCGCTTCGCCCTACATCCACATCTTGATCGGGTTTCGGTTGCGAAGTAGATTGTGTTTTCTTCTCCGCCATCTAGGCTATATCAAGATCAAATATCTGTGACTAAGGAGGCATCAAAGTAGAGAAACAGCTCTGACTTTCATTTTTTTCTCACTAGTCTTCGAGGGGGATCCATACCGCCATTTGCGGAGATAACAAGCCTTGGATGGCGTGCCGAGAAGCCGATCCTCTTATAAGGGTGGATCCCTACTTTTTGCGGATTATAGCACCTATACAAGGTACACAAGGTAGCATGCCCTAGCTCTCTGGTGGTACGGAGATTCAAAAGAAAATATATTAACAAAACTTCACTTCGTACAGAATTTTGAATACATGCAGTTCAGACACGATTCTACACAGAACGGTCAAGCGCCTTGACGGCCTCTTTGCACGCCTGCAAAAAGATCTGACAGAACTCCCACACTTCCGTGTAGGTATTATACAAAGGCGCAGGGGCGACCCGAACCACATCTGGTTTCCGCTCGTCAATAACAACACCCTTCTCCTCCAGACAATGCAAGACATGATCCAGCAACCCTGGCTGGAGACGTAGGCTGAGTTGAGCACCTCGCTCGGCTGGGTTTGATGGCGTGATAAGGGTGAATGGTTTATCTTCAGGGGCTGCATCTAGAGGATACTTCATCAAAAGATGTTCTAGATATCCTGTGAGGCTGAGAGATTTCTGTCGAATTTCCTGCATTGTTGTCCGGTTGAAGATTTCGAGAGACGCGACAACGGCATTGATGTCTAGAACAGAGGGGTTCGACAGCTGAAATCCAGCTGCACCGGGTTGTGGCAGAAATTCTATAGCCGTCAGCTTAGCCTATCTATACATCAGAATTAGATACTCACTATTTTCCATGTTGAAACGCGTTTTGATATCTCCTCCCCACCAACCTGAGAGTCGAGGCCGAAATGTATCGTCAGTTTCGGGCTGTTTCTCATCTACGGAACCGTGACGTTCATGGACAAATAGTCCTCCTATTCCACCCGGCCCGCTGTTAAGGTACTTATAATTGCACCAGGCTGCAAAATCCACATTCCAACCGTGAAGTTGTAGATCCACATTGCCAGCGGCATGAGCGCAGTCCCAGCCGATCAAGATTCCTTTAGAGTGGGCGTGAGCCGTGATCCGTTCGATATCAAAGTACTGCCCTGTGTAGAACTGAATAGCCGACAGAAGGACGAGTGCGGTGCTGGAAGCGTTGTCATCAATGACTTTGATGATTTGCTCCGTGCTCAGGGTGGGTTGATCTAAATTTTTAGGTTCAATCAAAACCATGCCGCCCTTTGGATCAAAGTTATGATGACGAAGCTGAGACCCAACCGCATACTGATTTGCACTCGTATTAGTACAAGAAATCACACCCACGATTGGATTGCGCAGCTTGAAGACATACATGATCACTGGGGAAAGCCTTGCCCTCCAGTATAATCTTATACTTCTCTTTGGTAGGGCGATAGAAGCTTGCCATTAGCAGGTGCAGATTGCCAGTCAAAGTGCCCATGACAGCCACTTCACTTTGAGAAGCACCGACAACTGAAGCCATCAGCTTGGAGGCTGCGGTGTCAACATCGACAAAAGGAGGTAGCAGTTGATCGTCATGCGGTACAAAATGCCCGGTCACGCCTTTGGTTGCCCAAGTCCGTAGGTACTGCTCAATATATTTCCGGGTGCTACGAGGCTGAACTCCAAGTGAATTACCACAGAAGTAGATGCATTTTTCATCGGATGCTTCATTGCCTAACGAGAAGGAACAGAGCCAAAAAATTAGAAGGGATCTTTGGGTACACAAGAGAACCTGATACGCACCCTGGTCTCCTTTCAGAGTCTTCCGCTTGAGATCCTTCTTGGATGGAATGATAAACTCGTCCCGGAAGCTCCGAAGTGGATCTCGAGCATCAAGAGCTTCGGCATACTCCTTCTTGTAAGCCCTGATATCATCTGTATAGGGAAGCGGGGAACCGCTTTTGATGTCCCGAACATGCTGCCGGGAGCCCATGATGGCAGAACTAGACCGATATTCTTCCTGGAATGCGGTAGTGTGATTGACGAGTTTGAGAGTTGTACCAAATCAAAACTTCAGCAGAGTCTCATACAAGGTTGATACATTTATCTGCAGTCCCCCACCACGTGGCGATCACTTCCTGATATGGTTATTATTCTGCCCCCATCCTCCGACTTGATCTGACCAATGGCGTCACTACTAAACTGACTAACCCGATGTAATCGGAATGGGATGATTTGATATCTAGTATTCTTCATCTATCTACTTTCTCTTCTTGAAAATTTCCTTCTTTCACACATCAGTCATGTCACGCCATTTATTCTCATCGGCACCCGCCCGCCGGTTATCCCAAGTACCGACGTGCCGGCTCTTCTCGACTTCTCGACCGGCTTTGCGCCTCTCCGCATTCTCCGGCGGCGAAATCGCTCCTCGTCGGCCAGGCACTATCGCAAGTAGCGCGCATCCTCTCAAACACTCCGCACATCAATCATCGACCTTTCGCCATATCCGCCAGCAACATGCGTGTTTTTCTTCCTCGTCCGTCCGCCCGGCGACCAAGGTGACGCAAAACCCGAGAACTGGAGATGATGGACAACCACTCATGATGGCTATCTCGCCACGAGCTGTGGAGGTGAGTGAATAATGAATTTCTTTGCTATTGATTTGCCTTTCTTTGCTTCGCTCTACTATCTGGCTTGTGTTGGGATGGGGGGAAAGCTGTCCAGGCTGCATGGCATCAAGTGCCGGGGTTTCATCTCGGCGTTGGCTTGCTTTCAGCCGAGCAGGGACGACCCTCTGGCCGCGCCATGGGTCCCTCGGATGCTCCTCTAAGTACATGCGACCATAGGGTGTGGAAAACAGGGCTTCCCGTCCGCTCAGCCGTACTTAAGCCACACGCCGGTGAGTTAGTAGTTGGGTGGGTGACCACCAGCGAATCCTCACTGTTGCATGTTTATTTCCTCTTTTTTTTTTTTTTTTTTCCTTTCGTTTTTCTTGCTGTCCCTTCCTTATTGGAGTTCTATCTCTGTGAATCTTGAAGCTAACCCAGCGCAGCGTCTCCGTGAAATCACAGACCCAACCTCTTCTCCCTCCGCCACCAAAGAAGAGAATCCGTACCACCATCTTCGCATCACAGTCACCAGTGGCGGATGCCATGGTTTCCAATATATGATGTCTCTAGAGGGAGCTTCCAAAATTGACCCAGAAGAGGATACTGTGTTTGAAGGAGAAGCAGATGCTTCAGAAGTTTCAACAGAGTCAGCTGGCGAGGCCAAGGTAGTTATGGATGAGCCCTCGCTCGAGCTGCTGCATGGCAGCACTGTGGACTATACCACCGAGTTGATCGGGAGCCAGTTCAAGATTGTGGATAACCCTCGCGCAACAAGCAACTGCGGTTGCGGGACAAGTTTCGATGTCAGCGATTGAGCAATTGTCCCTGGGAGGGGTAGGAGAGATGATATTTACTATTTTCTTCCTCCCCATCTATTATCTTATGTACATCATATTGCATTCTGCACACTGGAAAGATAGAATATTACATGCTATACCCCTCTTCTCTTATATTGGTCAGACTACCAACATCATCGATATACGATATGGAGTAACGCGATGCGATTTAGCAGGTCGACCTAATTCTTGATCAAGTTTTTCTACCGGGGAAAAGAACCGTGGATACCATCCAAGTTGATTGATGAGTACGGAGTACTGATTGCAGCTTTCTTCTGATAGTAGAATTCGTCTTGTACCTATGCATGGATGTACAAGCAGTCCTTACATGCATTCTCGAAGTGTTTGTTCAAATGATCATCATACATTTTCATTACACATTGACTCGGTGTATCACTAGTCCCAAACCGCGAAGTTCGCATGTAAAAATTGACTGATTGCAAGATCCATGACATTTCTCACCTATCAAGTTAGGATGTCCACCTTTCTCAGTTGTGTTTGTGCATTCGCCATGAACTCCTGACGCCTGGCGCATTGTAGTTGCAATCGAGAGAGACAGAGAGAATAAATAGCCCGTGGTTATTCTTTTTCAGCCACCGGGCAGAGATTGTATGCAGGAATCCCCAATGTAAGCTCTCCAGATAATCCCGAAACCCCGAAATCCCGAAATCCCGAAACTCTTGTAATTGTACCTATTTACCAGATGTGGAAGGTTGAACATTACCTTGCTATATTGGAAACATCCCATTTTGGAAATACTTGCGCCATTGTCATATCGGCATGTCTGCCGGTGTAAATTGGCACTGATATGCTGAACACCTAACGGAGGCATCAATGAGGCATATATAATTGGCTTCGCTCTCTCCATATGAAAGAAGAATATCACCATCGAATATTTTTTCTCCAATTCACTATGCGTTTCCCCTTGAGTATCGTCCTTCTCCATACGATATTGGCTGGCTATACAAACGCCCTTCCAAACTTCACTCAATCACTCGCAAATTACAAATGGCCAACCCAGTTTGTTCGCAGCTTCGGGTGACATCGATCTTCCTACTGGGGTTGCTCAGGTTCCATTTGTCGCGGGAAATACCTCTCTGCCTCTTTCTGAGCGGCTTGAGGCTCTGCAGTCTGCTTTCTTTGTTCGGGGTCACGACGCCCATGTCTGGCTGGACGGATGGTATCATGATGTTCTTGCCATGGAACACGCTGCAGTGGAGAAATATGGTAGCTTGAAGGAACACTGGGCTGGTGGGGATAATACGCAGGTTCTGGAGTTGATCCCTGCGGAGGATCCATTCCAGCCTAGTAATCAGTGGAACGTGACCTCTACGAGGTACCCGGAGCGTGCTACATCTGTTATTATTGCTGATGCTACTTATGCACTTTTTCCTGAACAGCCAAGAGCTGTCGTGGAAGCTGCCTTGCCGTGGTTGAAACAACAGAGCTCGAAGTTGTGATTGTATGACAATGAATAAAAAGATAGATATTGATTGAGTAGACGGCCAATACATTAGAGATGAAATACACCATATTCATTGAAATCCACTCCGTCGAATTACTACTGGAATTCCCTCAGCATTCCTCTAACACACCGCATCATCTCATCCTGATAGATTTGCTCTTTGATAATCAGCGGGTTCCCGGAGTTCGTGGACTTTTCCATATAGGCTTTCTCGCTCAATACCGGGCGTCCACTCTGTAAAAAGTGGGTTGCGAGATAATACAAAGAAAGGCTATTGGTGATCAAAAAGATTTCCGGGTTAAGCTCAGAGTTCCAAACAAATTGTCCTCCAGACTCCTCCCATAAAGCATGCCAGGCTTGAAGAGCTTGGTGGAGAGCCGAGAGGTCCACAGGAAGTATTGAAATCTGGGCTTCAAGAAGCAGGGCATGCACAGCTAGAATAAGCAGGTTCATGCCAAAGGCTGTCATATTTGCCAGGGATGGAGATTTTCCAAGCAATAAACCCTTGATTGAGCTCAAGAAACAGCTCGATGGGTCTTGTGCGGGTAATGCAGCCCAAGATGATGCAGAATAGGCATCCCAGCTTGCATTGTCGCAAGGAAAAGAAGCGCGAGTTTCCGATGGCGAAAGAAGTGGTCGACTACCACAAAGAATTGATTGATAGCAGTCTACCGCGTAGACACCCCAAAGAACCCGCTTCTGTGACTCTTTCTGAATCCAGGTTTTCCATGAGCTTGCATTCCGTGTGGCTTTTGTACACTCCCCGTGGACTTTGAGAAGTCCTGCCTGTCGCATAGCAGAAACAAGCAGTGGATGTAACATTCGCGAGGCTGCTCGTTCAGCACTTCCTCCACTTGCCATGCTGGCGAATTGGAACAATACGAGTGCTTGTAATTCTTCAAAACTTGGCGCTGCTCCGTCCGAATGGAGATATCCTTTTGCAAATATTGACGGGAGAGATTTGTAGAAAATCCCTGCATCTGAAAACGATATAGGGTCTGCATCGAGCCTCGCTCCGATCAGACAGATTGCACGCACAAGTACTGCTGGAGCTAATGCCAGGCAAAATGTGGGGACATGAATGATAGGCAACAAAGTGTGGAAATGCGCAAAGAATAGTCGCGAGTACTTTTCAAGTCTTTCCAAAGGGGTGGTAGTATTGCTTTCGAGTGTGAGTATGTAGTCACTTGGCAGTCGGAAAGTGTCAGCATACAGCACTCGCTCCGGGATGGCAGTATAAGGCGCAATCAGTGGATAGGTCACGTCGGTCATGCTACCGTGATCCTCAGAGATGGAGAGCATATCTGGTGTCCACATCCAGGATGTCATGTCGACTGAATTCTCAATCTCAGCTAGCTGGGTCAAAAAGTCGAGCTCATCCGGGAATGCATCCATGAATGATAGCTCGAGGGGCTCTGAATTCTGAATCGTGTGATCCTCATTTTCCCTCGAAGACAAGGTGTGAGTGGTTGATCCCACTCTCTTGGGCCGCTTCTTTCGTTCAGTCCGAACACAGGTTTGTCCTTTGTGTGCACATCTCACACAAGGCTGACCGTTGCTTGGCAACTTGCAGCGAAGCTTGGCTTCCGCACACGTAATGCAACTTTTGTTCATGGGAGGAAATATCTCGATGGCTTCGGGGTTTTCGGGAGGAAAGGAATACGAGGACCGATTTTCGGGTTTCCAGGCGCCAATTAGTGGCGCTTTCTGAATACAAATTGCATCGGTGGCTGCTATCGGCCTTTTCTTTATCTCTCTATATTGCTGTAGGGCTGACTTGAGTGAATTCCCGAATTCCCGATATCGAATTTTCTATGAACAGACCTTGGAACGTATATATAAGATGTATATAGAAGTTAGTGATCGAATATATCTCCCACAGAATTTCAATCTTGACGCCTTTGTTTGCAAAATACATCCAGTCATGTCAGAATTGAAATCTCACATTATTCCTTCCAGTATATCATGGTTCGATCGACTTTGTTTTGCTCAACGAGTCGACGATCCAAAATCCTATTCAGCATGGCAAAAGAATAGCATCGTCATGATCATCACCTTCTCAGCATTCACAGCGCCGTTTGCCTCTTGCATTCTTTTTCCATCCTTCACCACCCTAGTGGAACATTTCCATACAACAGAGCCTAAGGTAGCCCTGACTACCACGGTCTTCCTCATCGGTCTAGCCATCGCGCCTTTATGGTGGAGCTCGTTAAGCCAGGAGTATGGACGTCGACCAGTGCTGGTTTTCAGCTTTCTCATTTCGGCCATTGCCGTCATTATCTGCGCAGTGTCAAATTCACTACCACTGATCACCGTCTTTCGATTGATCGAAGCGCTGGGATGTTCATCTGCTCAGAGTGTCGGGGCCGGTGTCATCAGTGACATATATATCTCAACAGATCGTGGATCTGCCTTGGGGTGGTTCTACCTTGGAACTCTGATCGGGCCCCTGGTTGCTCCGATTGTAGGAGGCGCCCTTCAAATATGGCTTGGGTGGCGATCAAACTTGTATTTTATGGCCATATTCACGTTCGCCATGGTGATACTCATCCTTTTGGCTTTGCCCGAGACCTTGGTGAAGGCATCCCCCGAAGAAAATGCCGGATCATCGCGATCCTGGCTTCAACAAGTTCAACGCGATGCTGTTTCCCCACTGCCAAAGCTCAAGCTCCTCCTGATTCCTTCGATCGCACTGTCAGTGTGCTATGTCAGCATTTGTTTTGCAAGTCTGTACTGCTTCAACACTACTCTCCCGTATGCTTACTCCGCACCTCCATATAACTTCTCCTCCATTGAAGTTGGTCTTTGCTATATCAGCAACTGTCTGGGTTATGCAATCGGCAGCGTTGCAGGTGGACGGCTCAGCGATGCGAAGTTGCGCAAGTACCAGCTTACCCATGACGGGGAGATCAATCCCGTGGAAAGACTGAAGACCGTGTGGTATGGGGTTGGTTTTGTTCCGGTTGGCCTTCTCCTCTATGGGTGGTTGGTTGAAAAACAAATTTTCTGGTTTGCGCCCTTGGTGGGAGCCTTTCTCTTTGGATTAGGGCTTATGCTTATCACTTCGACAATCATGCCCTTCCTCGTGGATGTCAAGTCTGGAGTCGGCGCTTCTGTTGTGGCCAATTTGAATTTGGTGCGGAATATTCTTGCGGCTATTGGCACTGTTGTCTCGCCTATTGCAGTAGCAAGCATCGGGTATGGGTGGTGGATGACAATTCTAGCAATTCTGTGCTCTTTGGGGGTTATCTGTATAATTGTCGTTGTTCGAAGAGAGAGAGCCACGACAAAACCCTCTCCAGAAACGTTGGCATAGGAATGTGTCTTTGGATGGGTGCTGTATATTTCTTTTTGGACTTCTTTTCAATATAAAGCTGCAGGCCATGCCTAAATTTAGCACATAGGTTTAGATAATATTTAATGAAACATCACGGTATGGATATATAATGGCTTGTTTGCATGATTGTGCAGAAAGAGCCAAGCCTCGATGATGGGAAGAATCTCAGCGAAAGAGCCGATTCAAGCGCCAAAGTACTGATGAGGCCACTCATTGAAGCTCAATCAAGTGGGCAATTACAATGAAGAACGGTTCGCAGAAGAGAATGCAGTTGGAAGACACCAAGTTATTGTGGAATCCAAATAGAAACCTTATGGATAACGCGTTTTAGTGCTGATTATCCAAAGATGCGTCCAAGAACATGAGCCTCACAGAGAAATTCCACGTTACTCGAAACCTGATGCAGTGAACCGGGGTGCCCGTGATAGCGAGAAGCTCCACCTCCACTAGAGGTCCAGAAGAATAGGGCGATTGGATGCTGGAAGATACTTGCAGTGGACTCAAAGACTTGAACAGGGATATGAATCATTTGTGTATCAAAACTTCTGGTATCGCTAAGAAGAAAGCAAGAAATCATGAATATAGGGACTGAAGTAACGGCAAATGCCTAGTCCCAGCTGGAAAACAAGACGGTCTTAATCCTCCTCCATCTTCGCAAGTCCACCACGGCTACGTCGAATGCGTTCATCCAAGGTATCCTCCTGTACTCGCCTATTGACATCAGACATGAACCTGCCACGGTCTGAGCGCAGCCTATCGTCAGCTTGCCGCTGCTCTTCCTCCTTGGCAGAGATCTCCGTGATTCGCTTGAGTCGCTCTGATTCGATCTCTGAGGCGTTGGACTGCATTTCTGCCAATTTGCGGCGGCGTTCCTCTTCCAATTCCTTGGGATCGGGCTTGTTTGTTGGGGGACGGGTCGAGGGTGGCCCCATGGCCCGGCCAGAGTCACGTCGACTATTGTATTCGCGCCCGGGGAAGTCACGACGGCGATCTTCCTCGACGGCGGGGCGTTCCCTGCGATCGCTTGATGGGCGAGGGGATCGGGAGTTTCGGGATAGTGAGCGCTCTCGCCGGGCACCTCGGTCGTCGCGATCATGGTGTCGGCTGGAATGGGAGTCTCTCCTGTCTTGATATTCGCGACGGTCTCGATCCCGGTCTCTATCGTCCCGGCGAGATCGATTTTCGTCACTTCTCCGGTCACGGTTGTCTGAGCGATGTTCGTTATCGCGGCGTTCACGATCACGGTCATTTCGGTGTCTGCGGGAAGATCGATCAGGCGAAGCGGGTGATCTAGATCGGTGTCGTCGAGGTGATGATCTTCGGTGGTGGCGGTCACGGCGATCATCATCAGCGTCATCACTATAGCGTCTGCGTTTTGAGTCATGGGTGCGATGGCGACGGTCACGATCCTTTCCGCGATCGCGATCTCCGCGTTCCTTCTCTCTTTCCTTGCGTCTGATCGTCTCTTTCACCATCGCCTCATAAGCGGCCTGTTCTCTCTTCTTGACTTCAAGTAGTGGATCCGCCATAACCTTGGACATGGTGTCGCGCGCCGAGACAATAGATGGGCCGGCCGCCGCACCGTTGCCCACCACCTCCGAACCCTTCCCCAGCTTTTTTGTGTCAGCGTCCTTCTTCAGAAGAACTCCGTCGATGCGTCGCTTTCCTAGCAGATATCCCTCCATCTCCTCCGAGTAGTGCCCAGTCTCGGTCGAGGGTGCCTGGTACATCCAGTCGACCCGGCTAACTTGTTTGGTCTTTCCGGAGGCTTCTTGAAGGCGTTGAATCTCCTCCATCTGGCGCTCCTCCTCACGTTCACGTCGTAGCTGCGCAATCTGTTTGCGCTCATCAAGAGCGCGTTTCTCTTCGAGCCATACGCGCTCCTGATTCTTCATCAGACCTGGATGCCATGACCTGGTTGATCGATTAGTGTTTTGCTTCTCTGAATATGCAAGCCGTGACCCGATACTTACTTCTTCAGGTTCAGATCTCCACCCATGATGCTTGTGAATGCAAATAATGAGATACAAAGAAAAGTTGGTATGAGTACGTTGCTATGCCCAAAGGTAAATCCCCGTCGGGACCTTAAGCTCAGTTGCCACCGGTCACGTGTTCTCCCTCTATACGAGAACTACACCTTGCGATATGGAATGTGTTCGATGAACATGTTAAACAACATAGCACAATGGGAACTTCCCATTTTCTCTTTCTTACTTTATGAGGGCCATAGCCAAGGTATTAGTATAGCCTCAACAACTACCAAGGGAGTGAAATCAATAACAAACGAGAAGCATTAGAGGCACAGAAATAGCAAATGATAGGGAATAACTCTAAGTACAAGGTGAGGAATTGAAATCGGAACAAAACGCATCATATCATATCGTCATCGCCATGGAACTCGAAGAGCAGAGCCAGATCACCAGAAACTACACCATCCAATCCAGTGTTGACAGATATTCTCAACATTGGTTGCCTGCGCGATGAGCTTATCCACCTGGTCGCTAACACTCAGCTCTTCGTTATTTCTGAAGTCTCGCCCAGTGAGCTTCTCCTTGACTCGGGCGAGAACCTGGAGAGCACGGGCATTCTGTGCCTCGCGAGCTTCTTGTGGAACGCCTTCTGGAGCATCAAGAATACCACCTTCAAGCATGGACGGGCGGCGGCGACGGGAGAAATCTGCCGGTTGGGCGCCGGGTTCGAAATTAACACCGTCCATAATGGACCCGCGGCGATCTGCAGGTAGAGACACACGGTCGGGTGACGAGTCTTGTGCACCCAGGCGCCAATTGATGAGAGGGTCGTGAATGAACTAGAAAAGTATAAGTCAGTGAGTGTGGTTTGGCAACGTCAAGGAGTCAGGTCACTTACAGCCTCCAAGACCGCCATTAATGAATCCTTATGCTCCCGTAGAACACGCATAACAGCCTCGCAAGTGATACGGTAGCTACCCTCAATGTTGCTGACTTCCATGGCGAATGTTAACATGCGAGTAAGTCGGAACGGAACCCGTTCCGGGTACTTCTCTCGGTGCATTGCGATCTCGAAACAATCACCAAAGTCAATATGAACCACACGGCCATTACCACGATCCAGCAACAAGTTCGATGGATGTCTATCTCCCAAACCAAGGATGTAGCCGACCATAGACATAACACCGAGCGATCGAGTATAGTTCGTGCGGCGCTCGAGCCATGCCTCGGAGCTCTTGCTCTTAAGCCATAGCACACGGTACAAATCTTTGCCGGTTGTATTGTCCATAGCGTAGCCGAAAACTTCAACCTTCTGCATGAGAGTAAGGCTATCGTAATCAGGTGCCATTTGAAGCATGATACGGTGCTCGATGTTGAGTAAAATCCGACGGCTTTCACGATATTCCTTGATCAAGGCATGCAGTGTATCACTGTTGGAAACCCATCCCAGCAGACCAGAGCTCTGAGACAATGGAATAGCAGGGAAGCGCTGGACTGACAAGTGTCGCTTGAAACTCTCGCTATCATTATCCAACAAGGTATTGCACAAGCCGAAGAGTTGCATGACCCGCTCATCTTGTCGGATATCCTCATGACCCTTGACAAGGTACATGTAAGAGCTTCCGTTGCTGCCCTTGAGCGTCATACGACGTGGTCGTTTCTTTGTCTGCAAGACATGCAAGATCGGGTCAAAGCTCATGATGCGAATGACTGGCTTACCACTTTGGTATGTTCCTGGGACGGCAAGGTCAAGGTCTGAGCAATCCTTGAGTCGAGGAGACACATATTTGAGATCGAGAGTCGATAGCTGTGGCAGTTGTCGGCTGATCTTGCGGAACACGGTGTAATACAAGTCCCAAGCTTGGTTGAGATCGCCGATCTCCTCCGATTCGCGATACATCATGCAGTAGTGTTTAGCTTCAGCCAGATCGCGACCGAAAGCTTGGGCAAATGACACCTCGCGAAGGGTCTCGGCGCCCTTATCTAGCATATCATGGAAGGGGGCAAGTGTCGAGAACATGCCTTCAACATTATGATCACCAAAATAGAGACGAGAGGCTTCTTCCAGCCCTTCATGCCAGAGTTCATGCCACAGAACTGCAACTCTGATAAGCTCATGACTTACGAGATCTGCTTGCTCAACAAGCTTGGCGCTATGTTGCCGCATGCTTTCCATGATGTTGCTAGCAGATTGAGAGCGTCGAGTCACGTTCGATTTCATTGCCACCGTCAGTGGATAAACAAGGGCTTGAGGATGCGCTTTGCCAACCTCAGAAAGTAACCTGTGAACCGCACCTCGGACCCTGATGTTGGGTTGATTGATTCGAGCAATGAGTTGAGGGGTGACAGCAAGCCAAGTGTCAATATTGACAGCTGTAAATCCATCCGTGACGACAGTATTCACCTCATGATCCCCACCATGGTTGAACCACAAAGTGAGTAACCGCAAGGTGTCTTGCAAAGAAGATGTCAAGGATAAAGCAATGGAGCGAATAAATCCGCGAATGGCAGGAATCACATGCTCTGTAACGATATGGGGAGGAACTGGCGTAGGCAAGCCCTCACGGTTAGCTTGGTTGGAAATCGTTGTAACAACTTCGAAGTTTGCAAGTGCCCAAGAGTGCCACGCCTTGTATGAATCGCGGTTGTATTGGGTCGCCGCCGAGTACGCGTTGAGAACATCTCGGACGTGCTCCGGCCTCCAATCACCTCTCTGTAAGGTTGTCTGCCACTCTCCTTGCCTGAGATAGCTCTTGGAAAGAAGTTTTCTGAATTTGCTGGCGTCACCAATCCGTTCGTTCAGGCTGATTACATCCGGATGGTTTTGATCGGCGATCCCATTGACTCCATTCGCGCCATGATGATCACCATTTGATACCATGAGTGTGTTATATCGGGAGAAATCATCGGTCAGACCAGCGGTAAACTCCTTCATCATTTCAAGAGATTCGAGTTGGTGACCATTTGCCCAACTGAATTTCAGCCTGGCGTATGTGACTTCGGGTGGTGCGATGGTGCGTGTGCCATTGGCATCGGACACCACTGTCTCTAGAGACGCAAGGGACCGTTCTGCAAGACCCATGCGATTGGACTTGCGACAAAGATTGGCGAACTTGATGGACATGTCAAGGTTCTCACGTGGGGCAGTGACAAGAGCTCTGACCTTGAGCATACGCTGCCACACTTCCACATTTTGTTGACACCCAAGTAATCTTTGATTCCACGTCTTACGCATGGCGTCTTGCTTTTCAGGGTCGCCGATATTTTGCTTGTATGTGATTATTTCTTCGAGCTCAGCGAGCATCTGGACCCGGACAACGACATTGTAGGCACGGTTGTATGACTCCCCTAGAAGAGCAGACAATTCCGTATCGAGACCATTGCGAGCCTTTTCAATGTACATGTTGGCTTCTTCGAATTGGTTGCGATGGATTGCCAGAATGGCACCGAAGAATGAGCGGTCCGGAGTCTGCTCTTTCATCACACCAAGGTAAGAGTCCATCAACTCCCACTGGCCCCGACCCCAGGCAGCGGCAGCGGCAAGAGGCGCAATAGCTCGGCGATGCTCCAGTGATGCTTGGTTCCATTTTTCTTGAGCGAGGTCCGAGAGAACCTTCCACTCGCCAAGAGCATGCAGACAGCGCATCTTACCCATTGTAATACCAAATGAGTCTGGGTCTGTCCTTTCGCGTCGCTTGTAAGCAGCAAGAGCTTCGTCCCACCGTTGAAGCTTTTCAAACCACGTTTCCTTGAGCTCGACATCACGATACGCTTGCGCTTTGCGAAGGATACCAATGGCAGCATCGGACTGTTGAAGCTGGTTGTTGATGGTAATTAAAGCTTCAACAGCACCCGAGTTCTGATCTTGCTCAAACTCGAGTTCTTTGTAATGAAGGGCTTTGGCAAAAGCGTGACACTTTGCAGCATATTTCCCAAGAGTGCGGATGTCGATGGGAAGAGCCTTGTCGTCGTGCTCCATGAATTCAGCCAGATTAAGAAGAATTTGCAGAATCTCTGGGGAGATGTTGGGAGAAGTAAGCGCCTTTTCAATTGAGCGGACGAGCTCTTCCTGGTATTGGTCATACAACTCAGTCCAGCATGAGACAAAAGCAGCATTGAAGAGGTCCCTTGAGAGCGGCTGGTAGATTCCAGCCAAGCTAGCACATGCACGCAATGCCGGAGATGGGGATTCCTTCAAGAGCTCAATGCTGAAACGGCGTATCCATTCCTGCCAATCCTCACGAGTGGACTTCTGCGAAGCATCCCACGCGTTCTTGAGATGTTGCTGGTTTACGACAATCTTCTTTTGTCCAATTTCAGAGAAATTGGTGTCATCAGTAGGGAAAGCAAAAACCTCTTCCGGATTGAGATCTTGCGGGAGTGGGTCGCCCTTCTGGAGTTTCGTCACAAGGATGTGGTAGTTGACATGCGTAATTTGATGGGTTTTTAGGACCTTGTTGAGAAGATGAATATAATGCGTGAAGTCTTGTCCAAGTTGGAAAATGAGAGCACAGATACAGTCCATCGCAGCTTGACGTAACACACGATCACCACTAGCCACAACTCGTGACAGGGAGTGAACCATAAGGGATGCAAAGTCAGAGACGTTAACTTGACGCGATAGCTTTGTCAAGCTGTCGATAGCGGATTTTCGGATGCTCTGAGGATTTTGTGGCCTATCAAACAGACGAACGATGGAAGGAATGATGAGGTGCATGTATTCCTCTCCGCTTGTACCGAAAATCAAAAGGGCATGAAGAATCTTCTCTGAGGGCTGGCGACGAGGCGATGTGTCTTTATCCAGTGTATCGAGCATCAAAGGAATCAAGCCAGCAAGATACTTCCGGAATTCTCCTTCCAACGACCTAGCAATCGCCTCGACCAAGGATAAAATCGTGCCCTGGATTTGATATGAAGCATCCCAGAAATCTCTAATGACCTCGATTATGTCTGGCAAGAAAGTGCGAATATGCTGTCGCACGATATTCACCAAAATTGCCATTTGATTGAAATAGGACTCAAGGCGACT